GTTGGATCTCTTTGCAGTCCAAGAGACTCTCAAGAGTCTTCTCCAACACCACAGTTCAAGAGCATCAATTTTTCGGTGCTCAGCTTTCTTCACAGTCCAACCCTCACATCCATACATGACCACTGGAAAAACCTTAGCCTCATTAGAAGGACTGATACTGAAGCTGAAACTCCAATACTTTGGCCACCTCATGCGAAGAGTTGACTCACTGGAAAAGACCCTGATGCTGGGAGGATTGGGGGCAGGAGGAGAAGGGGATGACAGAGGATGAGATGGCTGGATGGCATCACTGACTCGATGGACATGAGTTTGAGTAAACTCTGGGAGTTTGTGATGCACAGGGAGGCCTGACGTGCTGCAATTCATGGGGTTGCAAAGAGTCAGACACGACTGAGTGACTGAACTGATATATATAATTATGTAATATTTATTATAATTATCTATTATCGGAGAAGGCAATGGCACTCCACTCCAGTACTCTTGTCTGGGAAATCTCACGGACAGAGGAGCCTGTAGGCTGCAGTTCATGGGGTCCCTGAGAGTCGGATACGACTGAGCGCCTTCACTTTCACTTTTCACTTTCATGCATTGGAGAAGGAAATGGCAACCCACTCCAGTGTTCTTGCCTGGAGAATCCCAGGGACGGGGGAGCCTGGTGGGCTGCTGTCTATGGGGTCACACAGAGTCAGACACGACTGACGTGACTTAGCAGCATTATGTATTATATATTATAATTATCTATAATCAATACATTAAGATTAGTATATATAAATATTAAGATTATATTATTATAATAAAAGGGATGTGTTGAGAGCTAATCACATATCCAGTATTGTTCTAAGCAGTGCTTCCCAATTTTCTGGAGTTAAGAATCAGTTTTATTTAAATTTTCAGCCCACTGCAGACTAACCAATGATCCCACTGTGCTACGCAAAGCTGCTCACGGCTAATGAGCAGCTCAACCATGTGTGCCTCCCATGAAAGTGTGATGCTCACACTGGTCTCTGGCTTGTTCAGGATCCCACCCATCCTGAGTGTGGATGTCATTTAAATAGCGAATATCTGTGAGTTTCTAACTTCCTTGAAATTCCTACACTTATTTTTAACATAGCTACAAACAGCTTATGGACTGGCACTAGCCCACAGACTATACTGTGATTGTTACTGTCATATTTAATCTTTGCAGCAGCCCTCTAGTGGCTTAGAATGGTAAAGAATCTGCCTGCAATGCAGGAGACCCAGGTTCACCCCTCCTGGAGAAGGGAATGACTATCCACTCCAGTATTCTGGCCTGGAGAATCCCATGGACAGAGTATAGTCCATGGCGTCACAAAGAGTCAAACACGCCTGAGCAACTAACACTTTCCAGTTCTGAGAAACAGACTATCCTCACTTCTACTTTTAAAAGAAACTGAAGCACAGTGGGCTTCCCAACCTTGAGAGCCCACGATTAACAGGTAGCAGAACTTGTATCCAAACCCAATCAGTGCCCAGTGGAGCCAGTATTTGTCCCTGGAAGGCTGACTCCAGAGCTTATGTTCCTGCCTCTGTGCTTGTGTAATTTTTAACCACATGTGAAGACAGAACAGTTCAGGTTAGGCCATCAGATGAGGACCTTTTCAAATACACCTTCTACCATCCACAAACCTCCTTCATCTACACACATCCTGCTCTCCTCTCCTGATAATTAATCATCAAGGCCAATGACTCCATTCTTTCTTTTCTTAGATACTTTTTTGTCCATTATCCCAACCAAAGCAACGGTTCAAAGGTAGGAACTATATTCATTTTCCAGATGAAGAAGCTAAGATTCAGAAGTTAAGATACTTACACGAGCATGTTACTAAGGCTACATGGCTATAGGGTGAAGAAGTGAAAGTGTTACTCAGTCATATGTGAGTGTGTTCCCTGGTGGTCTAGTGGTTAGGATTCGGTGCTCTCAGTCATATGCGACCGACTCTTTGTGGCCCCATGGACTGTAGCCCTCCAGGTTCCTCTGTCCATGGAATTCCCCAGGCAAGAATACTGGAGTGGGTTTCCATGCCCTTCTCTAAGGCATCTTTCCAACCCAGGGATTGAACCCAGGTCTCCTGCAGTGCAGGCAGATTCTTTACCGTTTACCAGAACCCATTTTGTCAAGGATGGTGCCAGTTTATTGACCTGACACCTTGGCTATTTATGGCTTTCCTTTCACTCTCAACTGTCCCATTTCTGACAGTACATTCTTTGGGCACCCACACTGTTATCGAGTGGCAGAGAAAGAACTGGCATGCAGACCTGTGAAACTGAGTCTAAAACCAGGGCTTTCTGTTATCCCAGACTAGCTCTTAGAATTTCAAAATTATGAAGTTAAGAAGGAAGGTTTGCTCTCAGTCAACAGTGATTCAGCAAACATTTATTGTGCACTTATTATGTGACAGACACTGTGCTGTAAGGTGTAATTAAAAAGGGAATACGGTATATAGTTCCAAGTCTCTAGAAGCCCATGGTTTTAAGACCTCAAGACTCACAGTCAGGGCAGGCTATGTAAATTACGGGACCCAGTGCAAAATGGAAAACGGAGGGTCCCTTGTTTAAAAATTATCTTAATATGGTGAAAACAGGACACAAAGCAAGTGGTTCAGTTTAATAAATGAGAGGTGGTTAGAGTATAACAGAAATATGAGTTACCTAAGATGAGGATTGACCTTAAGGTGGCTACAGCTGAGCTGACCCTGTGGATATCTCCCCTACATGGACCTTGGCTTTTTTAGACCAGAGAGCATTGAGGAGAATTACTTCCTCATTTTGACTTAAATGTCAGTTACCAAGAGTTTCCCCCACAGCACATCCTCATCACCTACCTCTGGAGCTGTGACACATGCTGTGGGGGGACATGGAGATGTGCTGTCCTCACTTCTTTCAAGGACTTATTGTCCAGTTGCTGGAAGTGCTACCAGTGGGCAGTCTTCAGTCACCAGTTTTTCTGAAGGCAGCCTCTATACAATGTCCTGTCCAGGTAGAGGTATAAAGCCCTGGCCAGTGGACATGTCAGGATAAACTTGAAGGGCCTTCTTCTCTCCAGAGCCCCCACAGGGTCAGGTAGGGTTGCTTGGCCAGTATTCCAGCTTGACTTTTTCCCTCTGTATCCCTATCCTGTTTCTTCCCTCTTCAATCCACAACTGTTGATGCCAGGGGTACCCCTAATAAACACCCCAACACTGCGCAGCATCCAAGTCTGCATCTCAGAGAACCAAACAGCACAAGGTATCAAAAAACATTCCAGTACTTGGGGAGGATTTTTATTTGAACATTACTGTTTACATATATAACATTTTAAAATTGCCAAATAAAATGGTGGAAACAAGGACTTGTGAATGTGGTTACCTTTGGTTTAAAACCCTCAATCTAAAGTTGTCTGACCCAAATGAAAGTTATATATTAATAATAAAATAAAACTATCATGTTGAACCCCATGAAAGTACCATTTTATAGGTTAAAAAAAGGTTGAATGTTAGTAGTTACATACACATGGTTCAATCTAACAGAAAAAAATCCATTAGCATTTAAATTTAGAGAACTTTACACTTATTAATAACTCATGTATAAAAGATATAATTAATGAATCAAATTAGAAATCAGAAATACATAATGCTATGGTTATTGATCAGTGCTAAGTACCAAAACTTGTAGGCTGTGGCTAAAGTGAGACTTAGGGGGAAAAAAAAAAACGAAACAGGCTTTATGTAACTATAAAAAGAAGTAAGTTAAAAATTAATGTTTCCAATTTAAGAAATTAGAGAAAAAATCTCAAATGTGGAAGGAAAGAAGGAATAATATGAATAATATGAACTAGAAAACAAAAAAACCAGAGAGATTCAATCAAGCCAAAAAAACTGATTGTTTGAAAATAGGAAAAAGTCATGTAAGACTATTCATAAAAAGAAAAGACTCAAAGAAAATTAAAAAGCATTAAGCCACAATTATAGATGCTGCAGAAATTAAACATATAAGATATTGCGAATAACCTTATGCTAATTAAACTTAAAATTCACAGAAACAGATTCACTCCTAGAGAAATGAAACTTAACCAAATTGATTCTGTAGAAAGAACAAACTGAATAGTCCTAAAATAATTACCAGAAATTAACCAGACATTGATGGTTGCACAGCATACTGAATATGATTAGTGCCACTACAATTGTATCTTTAAAAACAGTTGTGTGGCAAATTTTGTTGTATATATTTTATGATAAAAAATATATAAAAAAATCCTCAATCTAGAAGATAATTGATCATACATCTTTTCTTATTTACCAAATCACCTAGAAGGGCTCCTGTTTTCAAAAAGTATATTTTGTCTCCCTTCTCTTTTAAAATATATAATGTTGTCCTTCTGTATTTTTTTTTTCTGGAGGAAGGATGCCCTGCTCTCATATAATATCACTTAAACTAATCTATATTTTTTGTTTTTCCCATTTTCTCTGTACTGTTTTAACCAGAAGTCTTTGGGTAGGATAATGGAACCCAGTTCTGTTAAAAGAAATGGTGAGACAAAAAGGCAACTTGACATAGTCTTCAAATAAACAGAATCCTGTCTAATATAATTGGACAGCAGTATATAATTTGGGTAGAAGCAAAAAACATCTGTGATGACTTCAACTTGTACCTTAGAGAATGAGCTCTGGCTCTGGAGTCTCTCAAGGCACAAAACCTGGTAGACAGCTTTTACTGGTGGCCTACATCTCTGATTTGGATAAGGAAAAAAAAAATAGTATCATATACAAATAAAAATCCTTTTGCAAGAGCTTGGAATCCAATTAAGACTTTGTATCTGTAAATATTTATTGCTAGTATAAGGAAAATATAATATAGTTCATGCAGTGCAAAAATTATTGGATAAATGCCTTCAGAACAGACATGACCTTATGGTAGAATTGCAATGCTGACTCTGAAATTAAGTCTGAGGACTGTCCATTGAAAGCCTTCATAATCACCTTGTCACTGTGAGTGCTATCTGGCTATTTTCTTTTGAAGTACACCTGAGGAGAAAAAAGGCAAAAACAACATGTTTAGAAGTTTTAAAGTCCTCCTCTCTAAGGCAGTGTGTTTCTAGGCTTCCCCAGTGGTCTAGTGGTAAGAATTCACCTGCCAAAGCAAAGGGACACAGGTTCGATCCCTGGTCCAGGAAGATCCCACATGCCATGAAAAAACTGGGCCCATGTGCCACAACTACTGAGGCTGTGTGCCGCAACTATTGAAGCCCAAGCACCCTGGAAGCTGTGCTCTGCAAGAAGAGAAGCCACTGCAATGAGAACCCCGAGCACCCTGAAGAAGCCCATAATCCACACTTGCCACAACTAGAGAATGCCTGTGCACAGCAACAGAGAGACAATGCAGCCAAATGTAAGTAAACAAAATTTTAAAAAGTTGACAGTCTGACAGCTTGTTCTCTTAAGGGGATTGAGCACATGCAGAAATAATGTCAAGAAGATACTCAACTGGGATGGGAATCAGGATAAATATTTCGTTATGTCTTTCCATACGGCTGACCTGAGCCAGTGGCAGGACTGAAATCCAACAGTGATGTTCTGCCACCCTATGAACCTGGGTGATAGTCCATCCTTGGCTACCATGTTACAGAAGGAGCACAATGTTCTCAGACTCGACACAGAATGCAGTATCTAGGGCAGCCCTCAGCCTCCCCCAGTAATTGCCCCTCTGTGCTCCCTGGACCAGGTCTGTGACCTTGGGTGAGCCCTGGACCCAATCTCCTCATCTATGACATGGATAAAAATGGACCATCATGAGATTAAGTGAAATCATATATGTGAGAACAATGTAAAATAAATTATAAAGAACTAGCATATTAAAAAGCAGAGACATTACTTTGCCAACAAAGGTCCATCTAGTCAAGACTATGGTTTTTCCAGTGGTCATGTATGGATGTGAGAGTTGGACTGTGAAGAAAGCTGAGCGCCAAAGAATTGATGCTTTTGAACTATGGTGTTGGTGAAGACTCTTGAGAGTCCCTTGGACTGCCATGAGATCCAACCAGTCCATCCTAAAGGAGATCAGTCCTGGGTGTTCATTGCTGGGACTGATGTTGAAGCTGAAACTCCAGTACTTTGGCCACCTCATGCAAAGAGTTGACTGATTGGAAAAGACCCTGATGCTGGGAGGGATTGGGGGCAGGAGGAGAGGGGGACAACAGAGGATGAGATGGCTGGATGGCATCACTGACTCGATGGACATGAGTTTGGGTAAACTTGGGAAGTTGGTGATAGACAGGGAGGCCTGGAGTGCTGTGATTCATAGGGTCACAAAGAGTCAGGTGCGACTGAACTGAACTGAACACAAATGTAACTTACCACTAATATTGTTAGAGTAGGTGCAGGATTACTAGACCAGGAATACAAGATTTATAGTTCTATGACTTGTGTTTACTTCTGCATGAATGTTGCACTTGATTTAAAAAATTCATTGAAAGAAAAGATTTCTAATTCTGTATCTGCTGCAAATTAGCTTAATACCACTTATATATTAGTACATAGGGCCATCTTCCTTCTAAGGTGTCTTAGTTACCTCACCTGTAAAATGAGGGTGTTGAATCCTATTATCTTATCTGGACCTATCCAAAATTCTGTGATCAATTTCCCATAACTCAATGTCTTGATAATATACAGTGATAACGGTTTTTAAATGAAGACTTTGACACATAGGTGGGGACACTTTCTTTGATGTGAAATACCTAAGCTCAAAAGACCAAAAGGTTTGGGAGACTCCTGGCTGTTCTGTGACTAGGTTACATAGGGAATCACAAATGACTATCAAATCTTCGGGAATAAGGTTTGACTGGGAGACACACTAGAGTGGTTGAAAGCACTATGATTTTTAGGCATAAAAAATATATATAGGGCTCCAAGTGCAGCTACTATATATCTGCATACAATATAAGTACTTTGAAAAGTTCAGAACACAGACTGTCATCCCTGAACCTAAATTTGAATGACTCTGTCAACTATTCACCCAGTTCTGTGACCCTGTGCAATTTCCTACCCTTTGAACAGTGAAAGGCACAGCTTTTCATTTCTTCATTTCTGAGGAGGAAGAATGAGATGAAATAGGGACAGATGGAATTTAGGGTATATTTCAGATAAACTTTTCATAAAGAAGTACTTATATACTGGGGCATGTTTTCTTTAAGTGATATTTTACATATTACACAAGTAATTTTATTCTAAATACAAGTGAAAATCTGGGAAATGCAGAAAAGTATAAAGAAGGAAATATGACCTATGATTTAATGTCCAGAGATAAAGTTTCAATGGGAAGCTTCATTCCACCCTGAGCCATGCATCTCAAGGGGCAAGAACACCAGACCTTCCCTCCCTCCATCAACCCCACTCCCACCTTGTTCCAGAAAGAATTACAGGAAGCTACATGACATTGGTTAAGTCCCTTAACCAAACCTCAGTTACCACATTTGTAGGACCTGACCATTGTTAGGAAGACACCACGTGACCTGAATGTTATCCATTGAGAACCCTTCTCACACTCTGTACGCTGCTTAGTGCTTCACATATCTCATCTCTGAGAAAGTGCTTTGTAAACCTTCAAGCACCATTCTGACTATGGAGTTAGGTATTGTGAGTTCTTGATTTGTCCTGATGACAATTTCATTTTCTAGAAGGTAGAGGAAGCATGGGGGGTAACTGGATCTAAGTCTAAACAAGAGGGAATTAGGGAGAAAGTGACAGTATCAGGTAGATATTTTCTTTACAGATTAGAAAACAGAAGAGACCTACACATTTCCCTGGTAGATTTTCTTAGACCAAAAATATTCCAAAAATTTTTCCTTAAACTCTCAAATTTGCTGGATGTCCCTTGATAGCACTTGTGTTACCAATGTGCTGAGCACCAATCAGAATGAAATGTAAAGGTTCTGCATAATGAGAGTGTTCTGTGTTCCATGAGAATCTGAACACAGAGTCCAAGTGTGTGGAAGTGCAATCTGCCATCTCTCATTTATGCACATGAGTGTACACACATCCTGACCCCACCCCACCACTGCTGCATATTCTGAGCAGATCTGCCTTCCACCCGCCACGTGTTATTAAGACCCAGTCATGAAGCTTAGTTTCTGGAAGCTTCTAATTGAAAAGGGCACAGAGTGCTTGTTACCAGACCCCTAGTGTTAAGAGAAGGCAATGGCAACCCACTCCAGTACTCTTGCCTGGAAAATCCCATGGACAGAGGAGCCTGGTAGGCTGCAGTCCATGGGGTCTCTAAGAGTTGGACATGACTGAGCGCCTTCACTTTCACTTTTCACTTTCATGCATTGGAGAAAGAAATGGCAACCCACTCCAGTGTTCTTGCCTGGAGAACCCCAGGGACGGCAGAGACTAGTGGGCTGCCATCTGTGGGGTCGCACAGAGTCGGGCATGACTGAAGTGACTTAGCAGCAGCAGCGGCAGTGTTAAGAGTGAACCCTGAAGATGAACTTTAATTACAACTCTCTGCAGCAGGCTTACCTGTTTTGCTCTTTCAGCGAGAGCAACAGTCTCGGCCTCGCCCAGTTGTTGTACCATCTTGTAAAATACGCTGTTTTTATTGAGCAGCAAAACATGTGGCTTATCATATTCTTCCAGTTTCCCTGAATCCAAGACCTGTTAATCAGCAGAAAAAAATAAAACCCATAGTATACAGTGTTTTGCAATAAAGTATTATAACTCAGACAATATTTTATAAAGCAACAGGAGGAGAAGAGTAGAGAAAATCTGTTTGGGTGCTAGACCTGGCTGGTGTTTTAATGGTTTGATTGCCTTGTTCTACTAGGCAGACAAAGGCCTAACCTGACCTTTTATTACAACATTATAGGAAAGGAAGAAAAATGAAAGTTTTCAGCAGTGTGTGATATTTTAAAATTCTGCCAAAGGCATTTGGGGTAGTTATCATTAATCAGTCTTTTAGCTCAAACTCTGAGCTTTGAAGGTCATTTATACAGATACACCCCTGGTTCAAGAAAATCAAATTCAATTTATCTAAAATGCAGGTTAATGTCTGACAAACCAGATTGCAGTGACCTGACAGAAAATTAATTGTTAAGTTGGTTTGACAGAATATGAACAATATTTGGGAAAAAAGTAAATGTCTCCAGAGTTTCATTAGGGTTGTGAACTAAACAATTGCCTGTAGTATCACTAAACAGAGGATGTTGCAACCATCAAGCCCACCACATTAGAGCTGCCCTGACACTAGGCCCCAAAGGAACTCAGGATGGAAAGAGAATGCTGCAGCCTCTCTCAGCAGCACACCCTGAGGAGACTCAGGAGGAGAAAAAGACAAGACCCTGGCCCCAGATAGCTAAGATGCATATCAAACAAAGCATTTCAGTGAGCCCAGACTTTGCATCTTCCCATAAATAGGAAAGCCCTAAATTCATTAACTTGAGACATCTGGTTTTCTTGAAAAATAACCTTTTGTGGTTCTGACTACCTGGTCTTTTGTTGCAAAAACTCATATGTACCCTGGCTTCCCCTCTTGACTTTTCAGAACCATTTCTCAACATTATCTAAGATGCTGTGTCCTGGACTTGAAGTCCTCACTCAGGCTGTTTGCCATATAAAACACATCTCTCAATGTCATGGTTGTGTTTTCTTTTTAGTTGATAGGGTCCTGGATTGTTAGCTGCTAAGAGGGGCAGAACCCCTGGTCTGAGAGGGTTAAGATACTTCTTCAGCTTAATTTTGTACTTTATTACTCTCAGAGTGAAAGACTGGCAAAAGAAGCTGCTACTTAGCAGCATTAGCAGAACTGCTCTGCACAGAAGAAATCTCTAGAAATCCAGTTTTTTTTTTGAATAAGGCTAAAGAAGCAAGTAAGAAATCGAGCTTCAAATTCTAATGCTCACCACCCACACATTACCCTGGTGGGTAGCCCAATCTGAACTGCAGAGGATTTGAATCTGTTTTCACAAATTGTCTTTCTTTGCTTCTTTATCTTTCTTTCTTCAGGGGCCTTGGCCCTGAAGGGCAAGGGTCTTTTGGCCCTTTTGTGCACACTGATATTCCCCTAAATGAAAATTAAAAGGGAGAGGAAGGGGCTCTTAACTCTGCCTTTCTACTTATTACTGACTTTGTGTAATGGTTTTACAGTAGAAAAGAGAGTTTGAAACCACTGGCTTAAATGACATAGCTATAAAAATAGTTCTGATGTTAGGTGGTACTTAGTTCTTCATTTAATCATATTTAGAATAACTGTCTCTTAAGAGAATACACTGAAACTCTAAACAGGAAGCAGGTTGTTTTTTCCATATCTAGATATCACAGTTCATTCCATCCCATGGTATCTAATTGGAAACATTGTCTCATTTTCCAGTTAATTTTTTGTTTACTCCTGTGAATCATTGCTAAGGATGGCTTTCTCAAAAGAGTTCAAGAATAATTGAATCTGTCACATCCACATAGTATTTTAAATACTCTATAATATGCCGTGTTACTTTAGCCGACCCAAATTGTGTAGTTTTACTTAAACATAGCACAATAAAACATAACGACTCCTCTTCATGTTGAAGAAGAAAATATGCAGTATTAAAACACAGGTCTTTATCACCTGTCGTTAATGGAGAAGACAGTCTCTCCAGCAAGTGGTGCTGGGAAAGCTGGACAGCTACATGAGAATCAATAAAATTAGAATACTCCCACACATCATATACAAAAATTAACTCAAAATGGTTTAAAGACCTAGTATAAGACATGACACCATAAAACTCCTAGAACAGAAATAAGAAAGGCATTCTCAGACATAAATGGTAGCAATGTTTTCTGAGATCAGTCTCTCAAGGCAAAAGAAATAAAAGCAAAAATAAACAAATGGGACCTAATCAAACTTAGAAACTTTTGCACAGCAAAAGAAATCATCAACAAAATGAAAAGACAACCTACAGATTGGGAAAAAATATTTGCAAATGATGCCACCGACAAGGGGTTAATGAAAAGGCAAGGGGTTAATATCTACTGACAATTCACACAACTCAATTTTCCTTTGAGGGATGATTTTCTTATTTTATAAAGCCACATCCTAACATTTATAAACCATCAGGGAAAGAACAAAGAAAGAGAGAAGATGAAAATAAGAGAGAAGAGGCATAGAAGGAGGAAGGAAGGAAATAAAGCTAAGGAAGGAAATTACTAGATTATTAAATTACTAAGGAAGAAAGAACCAATTAAACCTGGAAGATACTAGATGGACATCCAGAAACCAAAACTTGGAGCCTGCTGTGTGTACAGAGTCCAGATCTACTGTGTGAGAGACGGGCTGGTTGTTTATCTGCAGTACCTCAGCCCCCATCCACTTTTCTTTTTATACTTTCATCTGTGATGCAGTGGCTGGGTTTCTGCAAATCACGTTTCAGAGTACCCTTGGCCTGCTGGCCCTTTGTCAGGTTCTGCCAGTAGCAGGCACTTGAGGGACACTGAAGGTGGGAGTCAGAGCCAGTGGTCTACCTGATTTCTGCTCTTCCTGCAGCATCGCTTTAGCAGTGAGATGTGACGAAAGCTCCCAACTTCTATTAGCAAATGGAGAACTAGCCCCATCCTGCTCCCTCACAAATATGACCAGCAACTGGGCAGGGACCTCTCCTTGGAGGTCTGAGCACTGACTCTTTACAGCTTCTCCTCTGAGTTCTTAGGTCTGGAGATCTCTCCTAGGACATGCTAGCTGCTTCCTAAAATTATTACCCCAGTGTTTCATTTTTGTTGCCCTCTGATTTCTATGTAGCAAATTTCCTGTATTAAGTCCTTTCTGTTGAAATACTTTGTTTTTCTCATGAGGCCCTTTTATCTCAAGGACTCACCTCTGACAGCAACAGCTGTGAAATCCTGCAACTTTAGCCAACAACTTCCTGGCAGTCTAAATGAAAGGCTAAATTTTTGATAAGGGAATACAAAAATGCTGATGCAGCTGTGACTCAGCCAAAATGACGGTGTTCTACCTCTCTGAAATATGAAGCCATAACTTGGATTTGGCATATTTTCATGGTTGGACACCTTTTTAAAAATGACAATTTAATAAACTTTTAACTCATTATTGACCAGAGATGCACTGATACATCTTTTCTTACCTGAATGTTACTGACCAGAGATGTTTCAATATTCACTTACATAACAAATCACCAGCCAAAGGTGTTAGTTTTTGCAAAAATCCCCTGGTCAATAATGTGTTAATATAAAAATAGGAAATCACTGGATATATTATTTAATAGACCTTCTGAAAGTATAGTTAAGTACTTGAGTTATTGTCAGGAATGAGAGGGGAAACAGAGAAAATTAAATTACTGGAGGTTCCTATCAAATTTTACAAGGAAGGGTAAGTTGAAAAGCTGAGCATAAATGGAAACAACTGAAACTCTGCAGGTGAGGGGTCTTACCATTATCTTGTCACTGTCAACTACGTTGCTCAGTCTGTTTGTGATGGTTAGCACAGAGCATTGAACAAATGTCTCATGGATTGTTTTTTGTATTAACTCAGCAGTTCTAGAATTAAAGAAGTTAATTTAGTTCAATATCCACTAGAAAAGTTGACTTAAGACTTTAAAATATCATATGATATTTTTATAATGCTTTTAAAATGGACACTTTAAGGCATAATCTTGTTCCTAAAAACATAAGTATAAAAGCTCTTAGAAATTTACTGTTTTTCATAAAACAATGGAAAATAGTCTTCCCTCAAAATTGCTTGAAAGTATCAAGAGCTGGATTTAGGAATATAGCTCTCTCAGGATGCCTCATAATAACATTTACACCATATAACATGTCTTGGTTTCTTATTTTGTTTTCTGGAATTAATACTAACAAGAGATACCTTTAAGACAATGAGAGCTCTTAGAAATTTTTCTTAGCATTGCTAAAAGTTTTCCATTTACCACATTTAAATCTTGGATACCAGGTTTTATAGATCTCAGCTCATTACCTTGGATCCACGTTTGATGTGGCTTCATCAATAATCAGTATCCGATTTTTCCTGAGAAAAGCCCTGGCAAGGCACAATAGTTGTCTCTGTCCAACACTCAAGTTTGATCCTAATTCTGCTAATTCAGTATCCATTTTACCAGGAAGACCTTGGATGGTTTCTTTAAGTTGTACCTGTGGATACAATAAGAACTTTTTCCTAAACAAACTGCTACTGAATAGACAAGCCTCCTGGGCTTCCCTTGTGGCTCAGCTGGCAAAGAACCCACCTGCAATGCTGGAGACCTGGGCACGACCTCTGGTTGGGAAGATCTCCTGGAGAAGGGAAAGGCTACCCACTCCAGTATTCTGACCTGGAGAATTCCATGGACTGTATAGTCCATGGTGTCACAAAGAGTCAGACATGATTGAGCAACTTCCACTTTCACTTAGACATTAGGGCTTTGAAGTCCTCAGGACTTCTTATGTGCATGTACAGCCAGGTAATGGAGAGAGCTATTACCAAATAGCTCAGTGAAATAGCATTCACTGAGAAAGATGCTAGAGTCTAGTCAGGACAGAAAGATTTCAGTGTCCCCTACATGTTGTGGAACCTTCTTACTTGTCAAAAAGAAAGGCTGGTGTGGGCTGGAAGGAGACAGGGAAATGCAATCAACAGATGAGGAAGAGGTTTTACCAGAGTAGGACCAGCAGTAAATGAAGTCAAGGGAGAGTCCATTCACCTTAATACAAGGCCCAGGAAGTGGACATGTGAGCTGTCCCACAGCAAGGGCTGAACCATGTGATTTCTAATGCACACACTGCTGATGCCCAGATTTCTGTATCTTGGTTTCCTGTGTGATGAGACATACTTGCATCCTAACAGAGACACTATCAGTGTTGAACATTTAACTGCATGCTCCCAGTTTGGACATAACAGACTATATTCTTAATCGCATATATCCTAGTATCTAAGCTGTTTTGCTCTTTTAACAGAAGCAACACATCAATGATTCATTTCCAGAGCATTATCGATTGTACTCTTTTAGCCTTTGAGTGATAAAGTGTTCACTCATGTGATAAAGTCACTACTCATGTTATATCTGTAGAGCTGCCCTTGCTTTTTAGGTGCCCCAATTGGCACTAATTTTTGATAAGCCTTCTTCAGTTGACCATCAGCTGGCTATTATTCAGCATATGAAAAATATATTTTTGGCATATTCTGAAAAATAACCAAGATGAATTGGGCTCCATTCTTAGGACTGTCTTCTTTTTGAATGCCCATATCTGCCAAGAGTGAAGGAGAACATAGGTTAAGAGAATTTTTTTCTTTTAATGGAAGTTCTTAAAGAAGAAAACATATTGGTGCCCTCCTACTCACTTGCAGGTCAACTCTATGAGTTTGGGTTCGCAGGTTCCACTTAGAATCATTTATAAACCAATGACTTGGGTTTTTAGTTCACTTGAAAATTGACATCACTGCTTTAGTGACAACTCTTAGATGAGGAATCATCTCATCATTCTGTTTCTCTATAAATTATTTCTTTATGACATTTGTATGTTTTTCAATGAAAGATGTGGTAGTTTTTCTTTTTAAAAGTCATAAACAATTCATAGAGAAACAAAGTGATGGAATGATTTCTCACTCTAAGACATATCAACAAAGTAACAGGGTCAATTCCAGATGCAATTCATGGAAACTACACTCTTCACTTTGTGAAATGAACTCGTGTTTATTTCTTTTCATAGAAAGCTCCAAATGTAGTTTAAATAAAGGTAGATCTTAGTGTCGTCCACCACTTCCACCACCTCATCATTTTCAGAATTGTGAGGCTACTAAATTTTGGCTCGTAGAGATGAATTAAGTTTGGGCCAAGTTCTAAGGTAGCTTTTGACAGGATTTGTCTCCCATTTAATGTTTCCTCTCTATCTCTGGAACAATGTGTTCTAAAATTCTGGAGTAATTTTAGTACCTGAGAATCTGTGAAGACATATCTTGAGCTGGGGAACAAATAGAAAAATAAATTGCCAGTACTTCCAGTTTTGTTTTGTTTTTTTTTTAAGATACCACACTATCACCATTAAATACACCCTGTGGTTTCAAGATCAGTGGGTTATCCTATCTTTATCTTTGATCGTTAAGTATACGCCTCACTTCTTCTCTTCTAGAATTTCACTGTAGAAAGACTCACAAATTTAAATGAAATCAGGAGTCCACAACTTCTCAAGTAGAAGGTGAAGCAGTCAGCCTGATTTAGGAAAATAAAATCCCCATGTTGGAAAGCAGGGTGGGTGTATAAAGACTGTCTGCTGACATTCTTCAGAAACCAGAATTACTGGCAGGAAATCATCAGGCCTCCAAATCTGCCTGCTCGCAGTCAAGGCTCATCTGTATATTACAGATCTCAGAGCTTCCCTGGAAGAGTGACACTAAATGACAAATTCACCAATTCAAAACAACATGGACAATCAGTCGTTTGGATTTTTGTAAAAACCAATTTTTTAAAAAAGAAATAAGCCACACTTCTCTGAAATGAAGTGGTCAATCAAATATTTAATACCTATGTATTAAGGGTTACTTTTTAAAAGCAAAAGATTAAGCTAGGGCCTATTAAAAATTGGAAAGTCTGAATGTATTTTAGAAGTCTAAATATAGTTTCTGCCATCAATTTACAAAACTAGGGCCAATACACAAAATAACTTGTATCAAAGTATACAAACCAACAGCAAATTAACCCGCCAAAATCTTTTGCATGCGAGGGTGAGGAAATTCACAGAAGTGGGCCAAAAGGACATATAATACAAATAACAGAAAATTCTCTATAAATGAATGTATCCATAAAAAAAACTTGGCAAATCTCCAGGGTCTCTTACCTACATTCATGCTGCAGCATTTAAAGGACCTGATTGTCAATAAATAACTATCACATTCCAATTATAAAATTTACCTTTATAGATACTTTCTTCTGAAACTTCATAGCATTTTATTATTATGATCTCATTTATCTTTCAGTTAATAATGAAAAACTACTTAGTTGCCTCCACTTAGTTGATATTCCTTAAGACCAGAGGAATAAAATGAACATTGCAAGGTAATTAAGGTAAATAATTCACTTGGTCACTTAGTAGAATTTGAACTCATAATTATAACTTTTCATTTAGTGTTCTATTTAAGACAAGAAAATGTATCTAGTTGCTTTGGGTATTAGAGGAAAAGCTAAAATGAAAGCATATGGCATTATCTTGTTGCTTTCCATCACTATTACATACATATTTTAATTTACTCATGTACCCATATTACCAGTGTTCTCCTAGCAGGTAAGCAAAGTTAGTTAAACCAATAAACTCCCCTTAATTACCTGAAAGTGAAAAGTGAAAGTGAAAGTTGCTCAGTTCTGTCCAACTCTTTGTGATCCCATGGATTACATAGTCCATGGAATTCTCCAGGCCAGACTACTGGAGTGGATAGCCTTTCCTTTCTTTAGGAGATCTTCACAACTCTGCACTACTATAAATGTACATACTCATATACTGATGCTAACAAGTTAATTTCATTACAAAAATTACCTCTTCTAAGGCATTCCATAGATCCTCCTCCTTATGATCATTAAAAGGATCCAGATTTGTCTTCATTGTTCCAGTGAATAAAACTGGTTCCTAAATATCCCCAAACAGGAAATTTTATTAGTGCAACATTTTTCATCTTGTTTGTATGCTTACAGAACAGAATTAAAGTGCCAAAATAATCCCCCTCACAATTCACTATAATCATTAATAATAAGGCTGTAAATGCTTGTTTATAAAATAGCATCTCTAAATTAACCTCCCACTGTAGAAAGTATGCTCAAAAATATCTCTGGACCATTGGATACTAACAAAAGAAAATGTTGAAAAGTGTCACCTTAAGAAGAAGAGGAGAAAAGATTTGATTTTTCAAAAATGCCTTCCTAGTAATGTCTTGCTATTCAGTCACTCAGTCATGTCTGACTCTTTGTGACCCCATAGACTGCTTCCCCCCAATTATCTGTTTCCCCAAAAAATGAGGATATACTCATTGGAGGAAATTTACATCCAGAAAACTAGATAAACTCATTGTCAATCCTGGTATGATGCTGGGAAATACCAATAGCACAATTAGTTGTGGTTTGTGCCTCAAAGCAAACCCATTAAATTTTCGCACACTGGCACTGAAGAATGAACTAGGATATTTTCTCCATCGGTAAAACAGCATTCTGGGATAGGGAATCTCTCCACACGTGTGAATAGAACATCTGCACACATAACAAAGAGAATGTCAGCTCCTGGTACAGTTCCTCTGTCCATGGAGAGATCTCCTCTGATCCTGCACCAGCTGGTCCCCACATTCTCTCACCTGTGCCCAAGGATGACCTGCCTCACAGAACCTCATTATTAACTGCAAGGTCAAGAGGACCTGAAACCCACCGTGACAAGAGCAATAATAAAATTATTTTAAATAGCCCAAGCCAGGCTTCAGCAATACGTGAACTGAGAACTTCCAGATGTTCAAGCTGGTTTTAGAAAATGCAGAGGAACCAAATTGCCAATATCTGCTGAATCATCAAAAAAGCAAGAGAGTTCCAGAAAAACATCTACTTCTGCTTTATTGACTATGCCAAAGCCTTCGACTGAGTAGATCACAATAAACTGTGGAAAATTCTGAAAGAGATGGGAATACCAGACCACCTGACCTGCCTCTTGAGAAACCTATATGCAGGTCAGGAAGCAACAGTTAGAACTGGACATGGAACAACAGACTGGTTCCAAATAGGAAAAGGAGTACATCAAGGCTGTATATTGTCACCTGCTTATTTAACTTATATGGAGAGTACATCATAAGAAATGCTTGGCTGGAAGAAACACAAGCTGGAATCAAGATTGCTGGAAGAAATATCAATAACCTCAGATATGCAGATGACACCACCCTTATGGCAGAGAGTGAAGGGGAACTGACAAGCCTCTTGATGAAAGTGAAAGAGGAGAGTGAAAAAGTTGGCTTTAAGCTTAACATTCAGAAAGCTAAGATCATGGCATCTGGTCCCATCACCTCATGAGAAATAGATGGGGAGACAGTGGAAACAGTGACAGACTTTATTTTTGGGGGCTCCAAAATCACTGTGGATGGTGACTGCAGCCATGAAATTAAAAGACGCTTGCTCCTTGGAAGGAAAGTTATGACCAACCTAGATAGCATATTAAAAAGCAGAGACATTACTTTGCCAACAAAGTTCCGTCTTATCAAGGATATGGTTTTTCCAGTGGTCATGTATGGATGTGAGAGTTGGACTGTGAAGAAAGCTGAGCGCCGAAAAATTGATGCTTTTGAACTGTGGTGTTGGAGAAGACTCTTGAGAGTCCCTTGGACTGCAAGGAGATCCAACCAGTCCATCCTAAAGGAGGTAAGTCCTGGGTGTTCATTGGAAGGATTGATGCTGAAGCTGAAACTCCAATACTTTGGCCACCTCATGCAAAGAGTTGACTCATTGGAAAAGACCCTTATGCTGGGAGGGATTGGGGGCAGGAGGAGAAGGGGATGACAGAGGATGAGATGGCAGGATGGCATCACTGACTCGATGGGCATGAGTTTGAGTAAACTCCGGCAGTTTGTGATGGACAGGGAGGCCTGGCGTGCTGCGATTCATGGGGTTGCAAAGAGTCGGACATGACTGAGCAACTGAACTGAACTGAACTGATTCATCTGCTTTGGGAGGAACCACAAGGAAATTACTATGGAAATATATGCCTTGCTGGGTTTCATGAGAAAATACATAAGCCCACGTAGGCCATTTGTATTTTCCTCTGGAAGACTCTAGTAAGCCAGGCCACAAGAATATGAGCAGCAGAGAGGAGCCCAACTGGCTCCTTTCAGTGAAGGGGTCAGAACAAGGGGAGGCACACGTGTGGGAACAAGAGGAGACCTGACTCTTCCACAAGTGTCTGGAACTGCTTGGAATCACCAGCCTCAAAGCCCGCCTGGTCTTGGGGCTGGACTTTCCTCCTCACTTCACAAAAGCCTGAGAAGAAAGATGAAGAAGAGAGACATTTCTTCTCTCCAGCCATGAAGGAGAATGACACTCAGAGAGCCTCCCTCTCTTTCCCTATTGTCTTATTTTCAAGTCTGGTGAGAAATAGATGCAGAATTGTGTGCCACCAAAAGGATGCATCCCTGAGCAAAATCCAAAATTAAAAAGACATTATAGAGAGAGCTTCATTTGCCCAAAGTTGATTAAGTGGTCAAAGCACTGAAAATCACTGGTCACACAACATCTCAAAATGATTATTGAATAGCACTGAAAAATGTGAGGCACGAATTTAAGGTCTCCATTAAAACTCTCTAATTTAGAATCAAAGACTGAACAACCATGTAAGCAATGGTAAGAGTTCCTCGTCAAGGGAATAATCATCATTCTACTTTAGGTTTTTATAAAAAATTGCTTCTTATAACTATTACCTCTAAGAGTCTAAGATGCAGGTGATTTCCCTTCCTTTTAGATATTCCCATTAGGTTTACAAAATCATGTAGATGTGGTCAGGCAAGGAGAGGAAGGCTGGCCCCCAATATTCCATCCCCCTCCCCCAAGGGCAGGATTCTGCTTTGGGGTCCAAGATGAGAGATTCTTCAAGGACTGGTGTTTTAGGACATAAAGGGCCCAATGAGGCCAGGTTAATGAACCAGCTTTGAACCCAGTTGGGAGAAGTGAGACGGGGCTCTGCTTTTAGCAACGACAAGAACATTTCTTTCCCAATCATGGCTTATAATGACCTGAACATTTTTACCCTTCATGTTCCTCTCAGAGCAAATTTACATCTACTAAGAGGTTTAAGTTTTGAATTATCCACCTGGTTTTCAAGGTACACTCTATAGAGACATTACCTGAGCTAATCTGTCAGTCTAAAACAACATATTGGGCAATTAAGTGTGTTTATTTAGCAGTATTAGATGGAATAACATAGTTTAGTAAAGCCAGAGTATTTCTCTTTGTTATGATATGCCAAATATATGTTTCAAAATCAGTAAAATTTCAGTAAAAAGTTGAATGAAAAGAATGATTCTTTAGGCAGCAATCATACAAGAAAAAAGAAGGTAAAGATATCTAAATTGGAAGAGAAGAGGTAAAACTGTCACAGCATACAGATGACATGATACTATATATAGAAAACCCTGAAGACCATTATAAAAATTACTAAAACTGATAAATGAATTCTACAAAGTAGCAGGACACAAGATTAACATACAGATATTTGTTATATTTCTTCACATTAACAGTGAAATACCAGAAAGGGAATGTAAATGTAAAAAAAAAAAAAAAAATCCCTTTTAAAATCACATAAAAAAAAATTAAAATACATAGGAAGAAACCTGACCAAGGAGGTGACAGACTTATATGCTGACAACTAGAAATATTATAAAAGGAAACTGAAGATGATTCAAAGAAATGGAAATATATTCCATGCTCTTTAATTGTAAGAATTAATATTGCTAAAATGACTATTATCTGAAGCTATCCACAGATTTAATACAATTGTTAATTAAATTACCCTTGACATTTTTCACAGAACTAGAACTAATACTCCTAAAATGTATATGGAACCATAAAGACCCACAATTGCCAAAGCAATCCTGAGGAAAAAGACAAAAGCAGGAGGCATAACCCTCCCAGACTTCAGACAATACAGAGCTACAGTTATCAAAATGGCATGATATTGGCATGAAAATAGACAATGTATAAATGGAACAGAAGAGAGATCCCAGAAATAAGCCCACACACCTACCACCAACAGTCAATCTTCAATAAAGAAGGCAAGACTATACAATGGGGAAAAGACAGTCTCTTCAGCAAGTGGTGTTGGGAAAGTTGGTTTACACATGTAAACCAGTGTAGTTAGAACAAAAACCCTTAGACCATATGCAAAAATAAATTCAAAATGGCCTAAAGACTGAAACGAGATATGATACCATAAAACTCTTAGAAGAGAACACAGGCAAAATATTCTTTGACATAAGTCTTAACAACGTTTTCTTAGGTCAGTCTTCCAAGGCAATAGAAATAAAAGTAATAATAAACAAATAGGACAAATCAATGTGACAAGTTTTTGTACACCAAAGAAAACCATAAAACAAAAAGACAACCTGTAGAATTGGAGAAAATATTTGCAAATGATGAGACCAACTAGGCTTAATTTCCAAAATATACAAACAGTTCATAAAACTCAACAACAAAAAAACAAACAACCAAATCATAACTGGGGCAGAAGACCTAAACAGACATTTTTCCAAAGAAGATATACAGATGACCAACAGACACATAAAAAGATGCTCAACTTTGCTAATCATTAGAGAAATGCAAAGCAAAACTACAAAGAGGTACCACCTCATGAGGGTCAGAATGGCCATCATTGAAAACTCTACAAATAACAAATGTAGAAGAGGGTGTGGAGAAGAGAGTATGGAGAAAAGGGTGTGAAGAAAAGGGAACCCTCCTATACTGTTGGTGGGAATGTATTAATAAGCTGATGTAGCCACTATGAAAAACAGCATGGAGGTTTCAATCCCATTTCTCGTTATATATCTGGTGTGTGTGTTAGTCGCTCAGTCGTGTCTGACTCTCTGCAATCCCATGGACTATAGCCCACCAAGCTCCTCCATCCATGGAACTCTCCAGCAAGAAAACTGGAGTGGGTTGCCATGCCCTTCTCCAGAGACAAAACTATTACTCAAAAAGACATGGAAACAACCTAAACGTTGACAGATGAATGGATACAGAAGAGGTGGTACATATATACAAGGGAATACTACTCAGCCATAAAAAAGAATGGAATGCCATTTGCAGCAACATGGATGGACCTAGAGACTGTCATACTAAGGAAAATAAATCAGACAGAGAAAGAGAAATACCCCATGATATCACTTATATGTGGAATATAAATATGACATATTTATATGTACATATAATCCAATCTCCAAAATACTCATTGAAATTTGTACTTGTTTAAGAAACAGAACAAAAGAAAATAGAATCAGAGCCCAGGAAGAGAAGATCAATTCAATGCTCCACCATCACAGCAACCACATACTGGGTCTACATGAAGCATCCTACATGTGCTGATATATATAGTCCTCAAAGCAGCTCGAAGAGTTGGTACTGTTAACTGTCTTGCAAGGAAGAGAAAACTGAGGAGCACAGAGATGGAATTCTGTGCCCTGTGTTCTTTCCCACTATACTGTACTGCATCCGTGGTTAATCATTTATTAAGGGTTAAGTTCTGAGTTTCCCCACAGCATCAACACCCTGTAATTCTCAAAGCTCCACAGCTTCAAAGAAAGCCCTCAAAGACAATCACCTCTGAAAAAAGATAGCTTTATTTTCTACAGCAAAATTCCATCTGTAAGACACTTAAAATTCATGTTTCCCTACAGGACAAGTGCTAAACATTTATCATTTTGTTATTAGTATTGTGTGGTTATCAGTGGGTAAAACTGTGGCATCTGAGGAAGTGTGAGTGCAGAAATCTGCCTGGGTAAGTTACTAAATCATAGGCTCAAAAACAGATGAAAGAACAACAACAAAAAAAACCTGGTATCTGATGAAAATATCTGTTGAAAATACCTGCTGCTATGATCTATTGGGGGAAAAGGGATCAATCCTTTAATGCAATTTGAAAAAAAATATCAACATAAAAGCAATTGAACTTAGGTGCTTTATAAAAAGAATACATGAGAATGTTCTGATGTGCATACCTGAGATACAGCTGACATTTTCTTCCTTAAATCGTGAAGTCCAATACTGGTTGTCAAAATTTTATCAATCGAAATTGTACCTTGGAAGTCTGAGAATCTGAAAAGGGCAGCAATGAGGGAACTTTTTCCAGCTCCTGTTTTTCCCACGATGCAAACCTGTAGAGAGATCCAGGAAGGATTAAGAATTTACAATATGCAGCCAACCAAAGAGAAACCCTGGATATTGATGATAAATTTTAAAAGTTCTATATAGAGTAGTCTATAAGTTTGTTAAGCATGGCCCTGTTGACATTATGAGCCAGGTGATTCATTGTTGGGGGTCAGGAGATCTGTCCTGTGTATTGTAGGTAGTTTAGCAGTAGCCATGGACTCTATCCACTTAACACCAGACACAGCCTCCAAATTGTGATGACTAAAAACGGCATATATTCACAAATGTCCCTGGTTGAGACTCCCTGGTCCTCAAAAGAGTTAAATAAAAAAAAAAAACAAAAACACCAGAATCAATCTACTGGCAGTGGAAAAGCCAGCAGTCTCCTAAGTGGTCCATAAGAAATTCACTCTTAAATTAACTTTATTCCTACTGTGTAGGTTTTTTGACCTTGAGAATTTACATAGATAGTTTTAGAGATGTCAGCAAGTCAAGTCAGAAGTGTTATATACAAACAAGGACTTATTTTCTCAGGGACCTGTTATTTGAGAAGAATTATTCTTTGACAGAGAAACTAAATCATTTCTTGATATCAAATATATTAATTATATTCTATCTTGAAAGGAAACATTGTAAAATTATAAAATGCAGGTCTCAGTGTCTTAAAAAACATTGGTCTGCGATGAACAACATTTGCTGTTTATATGGGACCTTTCATTGGAACAGTTCAAAAGGCATTTTATAAACTACTTAATACAAATGTTTCTTGGAAAGATACATGCAGGTTTCAGTCTAGTTATTAAAAGCCAAGAAGAGAGAAATTAAGTACATTAAGAATAAGATTAAGGAATCAATATAATGCAGGTAAAACACTGGTCAGGAGTAAAACTATACTGTAAAAACTGGCTTTCAGATGTGTGCATATAAAGATGTACTATATAGAAATTGGCTTTTTTTTTTTTAAACCAATGAGCTTGCCCAGCTCCCTTGTTGAAGTTTCCAAGAGATGGTTTCATTTCTCTTTTGGAATTTGGAGCTGATGAGGGGTGTTAGACATCCTTTCAATCATTTGTAAATTCATTCAGTAAATTTTTAAAACCCATGGCTTTATACAGAGAAGAACTAAATCTTTCTGAACACGGTAATCAGAACCTGGGAGCTTTTCACATTTTCTCATTTAAATGTCTCCAGAGTTTCAAATGTCTGTCTGCAAACTCAATCATAGCATTTCAAAAAAGAATTTTTCTCTATAGAGATTAAATGTAAGAATAGTGAGTTTAGATGTTTTTATTATTTTGTAGCCATTTTGTACTTTATGTTATACTCCAATTTATAAAACACAGGCCATTTTCTGCTTATGACCTCCAGGGAATTCCACGTACCATTTTCTACTCCCACTTGTTTCTCTGCACATTCACAAACCCGGGTTTTACAGCTCTGTTTTAAGCAACGTCAGTCTGATTCCAAAAAGTGGAATCCCTTTCCCAGGACGTCTTACTGGAGACACAACAGCTACAGGCTCCCTGCCTCCCACATCTGCCCACTCTAGTCCACGTACTCACTTCTCAGATTAAACTCCCAAAAGCTGGCTCCATGCCCATCACTGCACCCCAGGATGTCTCTTCTAAAGAACTGTTCCCACTGACCTCTCCATCCTTCATGTCCACAAGTTGGCTTCCCTGGGGTCACTAGGTAGTTGTGAGGGTTGAACACGTAACCATTATACACCTGGCGGTTTACTGCACAGAGAAGTGAACTAACAGGTACCTAGTTCTTCATTCATTGGATCAGGGCATCACATCTTTGCTCACGCTGGTCCCACTACCCAGAATGACTTCCATATGCATTTCTACCTGATGAAATCCTAACCACACATCACTAAGTCTGTCTCACATGCCTAATTTCCCAGGAATTCTCTCCTTATCCTCTCCTGTGGACTTCTCCCAACCCTAACAAATGCTATATCATCTTTGTCCAGACTTCTATAAAAATTGTGATCACTTATATCTTACAAAGCTAACCTAGTACTTTTCTTGTTTCATCAAGTGTACTAGATGTGTTGACAGCAGGCCTTTGTGTTATTTATATTATCTCTGGTGTCCTGTGCAAAAGAGGCTTCCATGGGAGGGTGAGATTTTTAACTCAGACTGGAGAAATTTATGGAAAATTGATTGTCATATTGCTTATGTACATAAATAGACAAAGAGACAGGCATGGGAGATTAAGCTTACAGCTATAAATATAGTTGCAAATGGCCAATTCCTCAGTTTCAATCGGATAGACAAAATTTTACACAGTGTAAGTGGTTAAGGTCATTTTACATCCTATGAAAATGACAACTATCTTTGCTCAAGCATTGACTTGTGTACTGGTCTCCATGCCGGGTGTTATGTGTCTTAACTTGTTTAAGTTGTTCAACAACCCTAAAGGTTAGGTCCTATCACTTGCATTTTGCAACAGAAAAGATTGAGGTTTATAAGAGGAATTAGTCTGCCTGAAATAAGAGAGCCCGTAAGTCACAGCATGGGACTCAAATCCATGCCTGTCAGGCTCTTTTCCATTTGCTGATGGCCTCCTTATCACCTGGATGGCCTGAACCTTTAGTATGTCCCTCTGTCTAAGTAGAACAGAGAAAGTGGAGAGGTGTAGCTGCAGTTAAAACAACTGGCTTCCCATATAGGTCCCATGGCTCGACAATTAAAGCATGGCATCAATATTGGTGAGTATAACATGGTGGGTGGGACAAGGGGCTGACATCACTGAGCAAAGAGGGTGCTTAAGGTAGGTGGGCTGGCTGTCAGCAGGAAGAACTGGCACCCACAGCTGGGCTGGAAGAGAAACCTGCAGCTAAGTGGGGTACATGGTTCCCCAAGAAATAGGCCAAACAGACCTTGTGCCCTGCTTGGGGCAGCAAGACTCATTTTTTATCTGATCCCATCAGATGGTGAAAGGATCTCACACTGTCTCTGACTCCAGGTTCAGGTAGGGCTGAGCCTATGGGAAATCCTTCCAGTCCCTGCAGGAGGCTTGTGTAGGAAAGGCAGCAGCAGGATGAAAACCGCCTGTGATGAAGACAGACTCCATGGAAAGATGCAAAGAAATGCAGTAGAATCACAGGGTATTAAATTATGATGCAAAGGTAGGCTTTGCAGAATATAAAAGTAAATAAATCTGTAGAGTAAGTGACATAGAACCTTCTAGAGCCTCATGCTCAATTACCACAGGGGTTTGGGTGATTCATGAGCTCAATTTCAAACTGTCAAAGGACATATCTTGGAAACCACAGGTTACCAGTCATCAAAAACTGCCTATGGGAGAGAAGGGACTTTATTGGAAGGTCTTGTTTAAATGCGATGCTGAGTCAAGAGGTCTGAGTGAACCTGGGACTCTGTATGTCTAAGAAGCTCCAGGAGACACAGGTGCTGCTGGCCCTGGCACCGCAGTCTGAGTCACAAGGAATGAGGAAGGAGGCAGGGGAAGGGGGACAATCTGGGAGTGAGGAGAGGGATTTCTGAGAAATATCACGTAAAAAAGGAGAAAAGATAGGAAACATATTTTTGCACATTATAGCAAGGTCTAGTAAGCATCTGTAAAAATGGATTATCCAAGCAATAGCTCTGAGGGGAAAAAAAAAAAACCAAAACCCAAATCAATCTACCTCCAGCGATGGAAAATGCTCTAAAATGGCCCAGGACTCTCTAAAATGATCAAAGCAATTACAAAATCATCTACATGAGAAGTGCAGCCCATGTTCAGAATCTACCCAGGAAGGCTAGGGTGATATTTACCTCGTTTGGGGTCTTTGGTTTTACTTGCTATTTCTTCCACGAATTAGAAACCAGCATAGCACCTTCTACACTTTCTTATTGACACTATCGTCCAGAAATCAGGACAGCAGAGGAGACAATGGAAAGAGAACAGAGCCCCACTTCTGCTGGGCGGGCTCACTCCCATATTCCTTCCAGCAGCCTCTCCCAACCAAATCTAACACCAAAGGGGTGACCCGGGGGTGACGGGGGTGGGACAGGTGAGCGGGAGAGGGAACATGGGATGTACACAGGTGGAGTGCAATGGTTTCATGAACACATTGCCTGGGTATAATCTCCAAACTCAGAAATGAAGCTACCGTTGATGCTCTGAGTAGACCAAGACACCATGAAAAGTCAAGCTATCACAGTTAATAGTTCAGTCTCCAAATCTAATTTTCCCTCAACTACTTCAGAATCTCAAGTTAACTCTAAGACTTTGGGGGTTTAAAATGGAAGAATAAAGGTATGTTTGTCCCTAAGGTGTACTATAGTTTCACACAATAATAATTAATATTTTTGGCATCTAGGGAAGTTTAAGATGAGTGTGAATGAACAGACTTCCCTGGTGACTCAGATGGTAAAGTGTCTGCTGAATGAACAGAATTACATTTTAACGGGAAATCTGACAGACACATCACTGGACATGAGCTCCAGTGAATGTTTTCCCAGCACAGGAGTCCTCACATTCTCCCTGGCCTTCAGTTAAACTGGAAATAATGAGAGAGCTTCTGCCATATGATTTACTAAAACTGCTCCCTAGGTATCATTTAGGCATCAAGGTGAAATTTTTTTTTCATATCACAAGTGTTGTTGTTGTTTAGTTGCTAAATCATGGCCGATTCTTTTGCAACCCTATGGACTGTAGCCTGCCAGGCTCCTCTGTCCATGTGATTCTCCAGGCAAGAATACTGGAATGAGTTGCCATTTCCGTCTCCAGGGGATCTTCCCAACCCAGGGACTGAACCCATATCTCCTGCTTGGCAGGTGGATTCTTTGCCACTGAACTACCACGAAAGCCCATGTCACAAGGGTATCACTCATTAAATTATAGCTATACTCTACTAGATGCATCTATTGTAGAAAGAGTTTTAAAGAACAGTTCTTAAAGTACTTAAGAACTGTGTTTATAAAGTATTTAAAACACAAGGTGATCAGTTTATGGAGTTGCCTTGTGTGTGTTTTGGCTACTGGTTGCTCACACCTGTGTTACTCACTCACTCTCCCAGACAGCAGTCCCTCAGCACCCGCTCTGTGCCCTGCAGAATGCCACTTTCAGGGGAACAAAAATGAAAACAAGATGCTCTCTGATCTTAAGAAGCCTCAGGGTTCTGTGTGACACAGATCAAAAATTACAAAGCATACCACAGGTGCTTTTAACTGTGATAAAATGTACCAATTTAACCATTTTTAAGTGGACAGTTTAATGTTAAGTACATTCACATTGTTGTACAACCAACCTCCAAATTTTTTTTGCCTTGTAAAACTATACCCATTAAAAAACATCTTCCCATTCTCCAGCAACCATCTTTCTACTTCCTGTCTTTATATATATTTTTTTTTAACTCCAGGAACCTCATATAAGTGGAATCATATAGTATTTATTCTCTTTCTGTCAGGTTTATTTCACATATCATGATGTCTTCAGGGTTCATCCGTGGGTCCGAATTTTCTTCCTCTTTTAAAACTGAATAATATTGCCTTTTAAGGATGTAATACATTTTGTTTATCCACTCAGTTTCAACGTGGACACTTGGGTTGCTTCCAACTTTGGCAGTTATGAACAGAAGTGTACCATACATACTGTCTTAAAGAATATATAAGATCCTGTGGAAGTATAGAGGGGCTTGAAGAGGCATGTGCATTAGAGTTGACTGTGAAAATGAGGATACATCCACCATCTAGATGATGGAGAAGCGTCCTTTGGTTCTAGGGCAACATTCACACTGGAAGCTGGGAGGACAAGGTGCTCTGGGAGAATGTTCACAAGACAGAGGATGAGATGGTTGGATGGCATAACTGACTCAATGGACATGAGCTTGAGCAAACTCAGAGAGATAGTGAAGGACAGGGAAGCCCAGCCTGCTGCAGTCTCTGGGGTCACAAAGAGTCTGACACAACTTAGCGACTGAACAACAACAATACAAAGATCCAAGTGTAGGGGGTGTGTGTATGGACTCAAGGCTGGAGAGGTAGGTGGGGAAAGAGATTCCTATTGCCTTGCCTGTTATGGTTTACTCTCTTCTTAAAGAGTCAACCCGAGCCCCAGCTGAGGGTCCCAAGCTGAGTGTGAAAGGAACATCACAAGCAGACATGGACACTGGCAAGCCCACAAACTCTTCTGCCATCTCCCAAGTGGATCTTCCCCTGCTCCTTTCATTTTGCTTTCATCAGCTTTGAGTAAGTCTCTGGACCCTGCGTCCAGCTAGGGGCTCTGGTTCCTTACCCTTGACGGACTCATGATTCTGGACTCTTCTCTGATGGCCCCAAGCTGGCCAAACAGTTCCTAATTGGAGTGGACCCAGGGGTGAACTATGGTTCCAGCATCATCTTACCCAGGCCAGTAAGGATCAGATCTGTGCTAAAGAAAAAAGCAGTCTGTGGGTGAGAGCAGGGGGATGACAGCTCAGTGTGGGTGAGTGGAGGACAAGTCTATGGGAAGGGCCAAGGGACAGAGGAGGAGGCTACAACTGAAAGGTTGGGAGGAAGAGAAGATTCCAGAAGTACAAAGAAGAAAAGATGGAAAGGAAGGAGATATTGGAGAGTTAGGGACAGGGCGAAGGGGTTGACTTCAGAGACTCCACATGAATAATCGGGTGAAACATACAGTATTCCGGGTCAGGTTAAGTTCCAGCTCCAGGATCCAGGGCCCTCCAACCACCATGAGGGAGCTCATGACACAAAGAAGTACTGGGATCCTCACTACACGGTGGTCAGTTTCCAAGAAAGTTTCACCCACGATGTCACTGATCTAATCTGCATCCAAGAGGAACAAAGAGTTCCCTGACACATGGACAAGGAAGTCAACAGCAGATGTGGTGCTAAATCTAGATTTTAAAGAGGTAAATGGCATAAACAAACCTTTGTTTTTGGTTCAATGCTTACTGTCAGGTCATTCAATACCAGAGGCCCGTCTGGGCTGTACTTGAAATTCACATTGTTAAAGGCAATCACCCCGTTGTCGGGCCAGTATACTGGTGGACGGAAGTCAAGTTCCCAGGGTGCTTCTTTCTCCAGCTCTGTATATTCAATAACCCTTTCTGTTGACATCATCTGAAAGACACATGACATCACGTGGGTTAGGAACAGAGGGTCTGGTTTATGCATGTTCAGAGACTGTAAATGAGACATTTTGCTTTTTCATCTTGATATCTGCTTTTGTATGGTTAAGAATATCCCAGGTCTTATCATCCCCAAAGCACAGAAGTAGGAGTCTAAGGAAGACTTTGATATGTCATTTTCTTGTAACACTTTCACTTATAGCTACTTCCTTCAATACAGTATTAAAACTAAAAACTTTAGAAAGATGGTAAGATTTTATTGATCTACCTTCACACCTGAATTGGCAAACAACAGTTTTGTCAAAGAAAAGAATAATTATGAACACCAATCAGTAATGTGTGGCTACAGGAGGGCCCTGTGTCATCACTGAGCAGAAATGGACAGTCATCAAGCCTCATTTTAATTATTAGTCACTTTCTACTCTATAAGAAGAGAGAAGTGGAAAGATTTCATTTTTATTGTTTTTCTCCCTTTAGAAGAAGGTGCAAATATTCAAAAGAGGACAAAATTTACATATTAATTAAGACCTACTAAACAACCACAATTCGACAAATTTGATAGCACATTTCGAGATGTAGCTTATCCTACAAGAAGGGACACCCACTAATTCAGGTGGTCAACAAGTATAAATGAGAAAATGGGAGATGGCTAGGAGATATGTTAATTAAACAACCAACCTCAAAATGTTAAATTTTACTTTTACCGAAAAAGAGAAATTACCCATTAAGGAACAAAAATAAACAAACCCCTAAGAAACTGACTTATATCCTTTTAGGATTTTAGAACTTCCTTCCTACAGTGACATTTATTATCTTTGAAGACATCTTGTGATGAATATAAAACCTGCTGACATGGTACACATAAGACTGAAAAAAAGATATATGCATTTTATTTAACATTAATTTGAATAGATGGAGGAAGGATCTCAAAACCCTTGTTACCACAATGTAAAAATAACAGCTTTACTACTTTATGCAAGAATTGCTTTTATGCCATTTAATGGCAAGGAGACTAGAAGAGGCTAAGAACATAAAGATAAACATCACCATGTTTTCCACTTCAGTGCTTTGCCTGACACACCACTGGAACATCCTCATGAGTGTGAGGGCAAGAGAGAGTACCAGGCCAACCTGCCCAGGAGTCCAAGCTAAACGAGGAAGAAAGGGAATAAAGTCAGTCCCATTCTTTTTTAAATTTTATTTTATCAAAGTATAGTTGATTTATCTTTGCTGTACAGCAAAGTGATTCAGTTATATACACATTTTTCATATTCTTTTCCATTACAGTTTACCACAGGATATTGAATATAGCCCCTGTGCTATACAATTAGACCTTGTTGTATATCTATACTATAAGTAATAGTTGACATCCACTAATCCCAAGCTCCCAATCCATCCCTCCCCCATAGCAACCATAAGTCTGTCCTCTATGTCTGTGAGTCTGTTTCTGTTTCACAGGTAAGTTCATTTGAGTCTTATTTTAGATTCCACATATAAGTGATGGGCTTCCCTGGTGCCTCAGTGGTAAAGAATCCTCCTGCCAATACAAGAGACTTGGGTTCTATCCCTGGGTTGGGAGGATCCTCTGGAGAAGGAACTGGCAACCCACTCCAGTATTCTTGCCTGGGAAATCCCATGGACAGATGAGTCTGATGGGCTACAGTCCACGGGTCACAGAAGAGCTGAACGTGACTGAGTGACTAAACAACTACCGCCACATATAAGTGATATCGTGTGTTATTTCTATTTTACTTCACTTAGTATGACAATCTCTAGGTCCATCCATGTTACTGCAAATTGCATTACTTCATTCTTTTTTATGTCCATTGTATATATGTATCACATCTTCTTTATCCATTCATCTGTTGATGGACATTTACATGGCTTCCATGTCTTGGTTATTGTGAATAGTGCTCTTATGATGCAGCAGGGTGCATACATCTTTTTGAATAATGGTTTTGTCCAGGTATATACCCAGGAGTGGGACTGCTGGATCATATGGCAACTATTAGTTTTTTGAGGAAACTCCAAACTGTTTTCCATAGTGGCTGCACCAATTTACATTCCCATAAACAGTGTAGGAAGGCTTCCTTTTCCACACACCCTTTCCATCATTTGTTATCTGTAAGACTTCTTAACAATGGCCATTCTGACTGGTATGGCATGGGGTCTCATTATAGTTTTAATTTGCATTTCTCTAATAATTAGCAATGTTGAGCACACACACACACATTTGCCTATGCCTGTTGGCCATCAGTATGTTCTTTACAAAATGTCTATTTAGGCCTTTTGCACATTTTTCAACTGGGCTTTTGTTGTTGTTGCTGAGTTGTATAAGGCGTTTGCCTATTTTGGAAGTTAAACCCTTGTCGGTCACATCACTTGCATATATTTCCTCCCAGTCTGTAGGTTGTCTTTTTGTTTTGTTTATGGTTTCCTTTTTGGTGCAGAAGCTTGTAAGTTTGATGAAGTTCCACTTATTTTTATTTCTATTGCCTTGGGAGACTGACTTAAGAAAACATTGGTATGACTTACGTCATGGAATGTTTCGCCTATGTTCTCTTCTAGGAGTTTTATAGTATCATATCTGTTTAAGTCTTTAAGGCATTTTGAGTTTACTTTTGTGTATGGTGTGAGGGTGTGTTCTAACTTCATTGATTTACATGCAGCTGGCCAACTTTTCCAACACAGCTTGCAGAAGAGAGAAGTCAGTCTTGTTCTTAACTCCAAGCCTTCTGTCACTATACCCTTCTGTCACTATACCAGAAAACATCCTTTATAATATTTAAATCACCTGCATATAGTGATAGTATTACTTATACTTTTACTATCTATTGATTGAGACCATACAATGTTTCCATATAATGGAAACAAATAAACCAGAAACTCCGCTATGAATCCAGAAAGACTATTAAATGAGTTTATTAATCCCAACAGGATTGAGGTACACTTGACAGCATTACACAAGTTAGAAATAATGTCATCACTCAAACTTTGGTCATTATGGTTTCAAGAACCATCATCTAATTTTACTTTCTACATCCAATGCAGCTATAGGCAGAAACCACAGAAAACAAGGCAATGGATTCAAAGAGTCACTGCTTGAAAATATAAAATACTACTCTCATTGTTCTTTCATTAAAGACTGTGATTAAGTGTTGTTGTTTAGTTGCTAAGTCATGTCTAACTCTTTGTGACCCCATGGACTGTAGCCTGCCAGGCTCCTCTGTTCATGGAATTTCCCAGGCAAGAATACCAGAATGGGTTGCCATTTCCTTCTCCAGGGGATCTTCCCAACCCAGAGATCAAACCTATGCCTCTTGCACTGACAGGCAGATTCTTTACCACTGAGTCACCTGGCAAGCCCCAAATTTTTTAATTTATTTTGGCTCTTCCAGGTCTAAGTTTCGACATGTGGAATCAGTGTTGTTAATATGGAATAATTACAGATGGTGAATTTATGCCACATATGTCAACATCTGTACATCTGGTATCCAAACAGTGGTGAAGACATTGTTCTTTCATATAAAGAATCTTTATCACCCCAGTGCACCAGGCACCTGCAACCAAAAGATCAGAGAAGCCTTAAAGCTAAAACCTAAAGCCCGAGGGTGGACAAAATGCTTAATTGTAAACTTGGCTCTCTCCTCCCAACTACAGAAGTCTGCTTGCTACAGCTATGTAGAACTTAACTCGACTCAAATGACTCCTCTATATGGGTCAAACTGTGGAATCACATGTTGCAAATGCTTTAGTACAATTCATTAGAACCAAATGGTTTATGGTATTAGATAAAGTGGCAAGAGTTAAATTTAATAACTGTTAATACACCTAGAAATTATAATCATACCACAAATATGGTATACGTATCTGTACTTACGTTCTTTCAGAATCAGGGCCCCAAAGGCAACAACGATGACCAAGAAGGCACAGACAATATCCAGCCACATGGCAAAACATTGGGACATGGTCAAAAGCATGAACCAGCTCTCTGGATTTATGAACCATAATAAGCATAATAAATAAGTGGGAAAAAAAAAACATGTTAGCTGCTTTGAATGAGTCAGTCAAGCTATAGAAGATTTTTACACAATGCAGTAGATCAGCCAAGTGACACATGCATATAACTTGAGATTCCAGAAAGCTAGGTTTTGACATCAGACAATATATAGGACACATACACAGGAATCAGTCCAGGTGCTTTATGGGAAGCATCCATTGAAAATGTGAACCTACAGGTTAGAAACAGAAATGTGATCCTAATAAAGAAGATGGAGAAATGGTGTCATTGGTGCATTTCTTGTTGCGCTGACTGTCAGAGTGACTCATCCTCTCATAAAGTCAACCGTTCCCAGATCCTTGATAGAATGTGCAGCTCCTACACTGTTTCCAGCACCGTCTGCACTTACTAGACATGTTTACTCTGAGGAGCCAGTATCTAAATGGCCATGAGTTAACAGGATCTGCATGTGGCTTTCAAAGTGCCATTTCATCTTCAAAATACAATAAAGATTGGAAAGATGGGTCTGAGTTTTACAGACTTAGAGCACATTCTGAAATTTCTACCCAGAAAAAAAAAATTTACTGATATAAAGTATAATACACATCAAGTGGGTGGGAAATCAGGAAATTATTTTCCTCAATTACATCTGCTGCCCTGAATGTTCTGAAAAGAGAGTCAGTACACTACAGCAAGGGTCGGGGGCAGGGGAGGGTGGGGTGGCAAGAACAGCCCACCACTTGCTTTTATAAATAAACTTTTATTGGAGCACCATCACAGCCATTTGCTGAGGTATTATTTTTGCCTACTTTGGTGCTACAGTAGCAAAGTTGAGCAGTTGCAATACGGCACACAAAGCCTACCATGTTTACTATTTGGCTCTCTGAAAAAAATGTTTGTTGACTTCTGCCCTAAAGGGACAAAGCCATAGGACATGGTGACAGTTGGACAATACAGGCCAGTTAGGAGAGAAGCGGGGTGTGACGGGGAGAGGGGAGCACAGAGGGGATGCTGAGAGGAGGGGTGGGGAGGCGGGTGTGCAGGGAGGGAACCTGAGGCTCACACAGAGAGAGGCGCTGGCCAGCAAGACCCCCTGAGAGGGGGGTCAGGACTCTGAAGGGAGCACATCCCATCCTTTGAAATCATTTCCAGAAACTTACAGACCTGAGTGCAAGTCCTGGCACGTCTCAAACAGTTTCTGAAACTTTTGTTCGGCTTTGTAGGCCCGGATGGTCCGGAGTCCTTGGAGAGAAGATGCTAAGTGGGAAAATACTGGGCTTTGTTCTGTGGAAGCAGAGACAAACAACATAGACAGTCAGGGAGATTGGATGTGAGGAAACCCACCACCTCCCATGTTCTTTGGTTGTGTGTCCTGCCAAAGGGCACATCCGGCACTTCCTGGAGGGCTGCCTGGGGGAGGAGGGATGATGATCTTTCTGGAGTGGATCTTCCACATGACCCTCAAGCTCCTGCTCACACCAACCTTCACTTTAACAACCTGGAAACAAAAGATTCTCTTTGAACCTATCTTCGACTAAATTAAAATCGTAGACAGTTTTAGATAATTAAATTAGATTTTTCTGTATCTATTAGTAGATACAGACAACCGTGGGAAACAGTATACTTCTCTTCTTGGTGTGGTTTCTAGAAAATTAAGTTTGCATTAATTTGCAGTCACTATCCATAGTCAAGGTTTCAGATACAAACATCTTTCCTTACTTTTTTACAATCATCCTCATTCCTTTTTTAAATCTTCTCTCCTTATGATTTTATGTTAATAATGATTGACTATATCTGTGCATTAACAATAAGATAAGCACTAGATAATTTCATCCTCTGAGATTACCTGTAGGATAGAATGAGTGATTGAAAGTCGTTCAGTCGTGTCTGACTCTTGGTGACCCCGTGGACTATACAATCCATAGAATCCTCTAGGCCAGAATACCGGGTGGGTAGCCTTTTCCTTCTCATGGGGATCTTCCTAACCCAGGGATCAAACCCAGGTATGATTAACTATAAATTGTGTTCCCCATCATTCTAAAACTAGGAATTTGAATGGAGTAATAGACTAAATGGGTACTGAATAGATCCCCTCCCTTCCTTTGTTCTCTCAAGGTGGTTATCTGCAGCATTCATTTATGGGAAAAGCCTTGGGGAAGGGGGCCACAGTGTGGCAACACCCCAAGAAATGGTGATGATAAAAAACAAATCTGAAAATAACAGGGCTTATCTTTTCAAAACACTTAACAACTGCAACTTATTTGCCATCTTTGGAGTATGTGAGAGAATGTATTTTCCAAATGTATCACCTCTGACATTATGAATATATTTCCTGATGCCTCTTTTCCTTTTCTTAATCTTTTTCTTTCCTTGTCATTTCTAGTAACTCTGGGGGAAGAAAAATTCCCTATTTTCCTTCTACATTAATTGCAACATGATTAACATTTTATGTTTAGAAAAATGTTTACTGAGTGGCTGCTATGTCAGGGAGTGTGCCATGAGCTAGACAGAAGCGGCCCCTGTCCTCATGGCGCTCACATTCGCTCTCCTTGTGCTGAAATGCAAAAGCTGTGGGTGACCCCCCACCAGCTTCACTTGCTTTAAGGGCCACACTGACTCACAAGGGCTATAATATGCAAATACCTAATGTTGATTTAGGGAGAAATTCCAGAAGATAGCGTCTGCAGGATGTCAGGGGTCTGGGTAATTACGGCATAAATGGAAGCCAGCCTGCACTGCCTCCCCAGCCTGAGAGCCCCCGTACTCACTTGCACATTTCAGGCATTTGACACCTCCTGATGTATTTAGGAAACAGAGCTGAAGCAGGAAGAAAACAATGCCAAGGAGAGCCAGGGGTATCGCAGTCCAAGGAATCATAGCCACCATCACAATTACCATGCCAATCACAAGTAGAAATGTCTGAAATAGTGAAGAAAGACACGGAGGCCTCCTTATGAAAGATTCTTTTCAAAGATAAACTTTAATAGATTGCTCTATTAGGATTAAACTCCTTTCCTCGAAAGATGTGTTGGAATGGCAGGGAAAGCTTTCCTACCAAAGGAAAAAGAATTATAGGTGCTCATTACAATATTTATTACATGTGTCCAACACTATCATAAGAACTTCAAGGTATTAGCTCTTTTGATACACTCAGTAACCCTATGAGGCAGGCATCACTTTTTATTTTGGCCACGCCATGAATCTGGTGGGATCTCAGTTCCCTGACCAGGGATTGAGCATGGGCCACAGGAGTGAAACAAATCAGTCCTAGCAATCCTCACCACTAGACACCAGAGAACTCCCCTAGGCAGTACTATCTTTAACAAATGAGAATATTTGAGACTCAGAGGGTAGTTGTTGAATCTGTCAGTAGGTGTTACTGATACTAAACAGATGAGCAAGAAGATATCACAGATGAGGAATCCAGAAACCTCAGCTGTACACACAGGGATAAGGAAGTGGTTAGTTACAAATTCTAAGCCCAGTAAATGGGGGGAAAATGGAAATGTCAACCTTTGGAAGTGAGAATTCCACTTTCTTGGTTTTCCATCCCTAGTTAATATTTACTGAGTGCTGACTGTGTACAGAGCTTCACATGTATGAACTCGATAACCCTTACAATAGCCCTATCAAGTAATAGTGTTATCTCATTTTACAGACTGAGACACTGAGGCACAAGAAGAGGAAAAGCAACCTGATAGAGACTGGAGACTGCAAAGCCTAAGTCATGGAGCCTGAGAAGTCATGCTTTGAGCCATTATGACATATTTAGGCTTGTTCCCAACATACAGCTAAGTAACATTATGCTAAGTATTTAAAATGTCCATTTCAAAGGTAAGTGATTATTATAACAGCAGATACCATTTACCAGGTGTTTGCATGTGCTAAGAGTTCCACAAACATTTCACTTAATTATCACCTCACCCCACAAGGTGATTTTATATTGGGAAATGATCTTGGTCCAAAAAGCAAGTAGACTAGAAACCCAAGTCCTTGGCTGACTCAATGATTTAAGTATCTTTATCAAGAAAAGTATAATGTGATGGTGGAAAGCTTCAGGCAAGAATGCAATCAACACTTAGCATCTGCCTGTTATGAAAGTGGAGTGAATAGTGGAGATGTGCAGATTCATATCTCCTGGACCAAGGCCTCTGAAGGTTACAGACCTTAGTTAGATACAAATCCGTGATGGTTTGCACAAGGCCCAGAGTGCTATGGAAACACAGGGAAGAATATGTGAACATTTAGAGGATTCTAAGAAGACACTTCAGAAATGAATTTCACAGGCTGGCTTCTCTGTCAATATGAAGGCTTGCTTAAGCTTCTGATCTTTCTTCTAAGATGCTTCCCTCTCTCTGGGTAATCTTATCACCTTCACAGATTTAACTACCACCTGCTCAGTGAAGAATACGCAGGTGCCCTGCTCATCCTAGACTCTTATTTCATTATCTGCAGTATGCCTTGAGGTCTTAAGCGCCAAGATAGTTGAATTAAAACTGACAGAGCTGGGATTGGAAATCAGCAAGACTAAAATTTTCTCTCATGACTGAGAACGTTTTATATTTGAAATCAGGTAGCATTTCTCCTTGTCCCTCTTAAAAAACATTCAAAAATATGTGATGAATTTGGATTTATGAGGGCTAATTAACCATATGCTAAGCACACAGTGGGTCAGTCAGCTATGGAAACTCAACCTTGGCTTAGTTTGCAACAGCAAACAAAGAGAACTCTTCACAAAATTTTAATGTAATTAATAATCACTGTCAAAATAGGATACTGCTTTAGTGAGAAATTGCTTCTGGGGATAAATTATATACCTAAACTTGTCAGGAAGCATTTAACAAGATGCTTCCTGTGTACTATTTTGGATCTGTCAGGAACCCTCTGGCCCTTATTAATTCCTGAATATTCAGGAATTAAGAGGAGAGGCATGCCTTTCCCTGGGGCTGAGGAATCCAGGCATTTCTCATTATAGTGATAAGTACCCTCTTCCTTTTTATGAGCCATATGGTAAAAGGTGATTGTTTGCAACTCTCTCGTTGATAGGGATTGTCTTATGTTTTGTAAATCTGGAATTTTAATCTTTATCTTTGCTGAGAATAACTACCTTGTAAGACAATATATATGTGCATGCCATGTTGACTAAAACACCTTTGCTCCATCAGAGCTTTGGTCCCCGTGTATTTCTTTCTTTCTTTTTCTCTCTCTCTCTCTATTTCTGGATGATTCCCTGGAGCATGGAAGTTGGCTGCGTAACCCAGGGAATGTTAGCCTCTTTCCTTCTTTCACTCTCTCATCGTCGACTCCGGACCACCAGGTTCCAGTCCATTAAAGGACCAACATAAACCCACATGACATATTTAGAAAATAAACTTGCAGAGGAGAAAACAATCAGATATCTGTGCAGTAAAAGCACTCTGCCTCCAAGTCTCAATTTAGTTCACATTAGTAAACAGGAGAAAACTTTGCCCACAGGCTATATGGTCTGCAGTCAGATAATCATTGCTGCATGTTTTCTATGTGCAACTTTTGATAAATGCATTTCATTTCCACAATTAATACTTGGAAACAAAAAAGTCCCCACAAGCTTAATCATTGAAAAGTAAAAAGAATTAAGCAACAGGAGAAACATCCCACATGAGCAACAGCACTGAATGAGAGCTGAAGTGACCCCAAATCATTCTTTAGAACCTCAAGTTCACAGACAAAACAAAGGCAGTGTAATCAGCTTTTGACAGGAAAGAGTTCTCTGTAGGATGCACTCTTTGTCTTAATCTTAAACTGGATACCCCTATATTCTATGTATCTCTGGGCTTAGCACAACCTGCAGGTCTTTCAGTCACACAACGTGCTGTGCTTAGTCACTCAGTTGTGTCCAATTCTTTGTGACCCCATGGACTGTAGCCTACCAGGCTCTTTCGTCCATGAGGATTCTCAAGGCAAGACTACCAGAGGGGTTTGCCATTCCCTCCTCCAGGAGATCTCCCCAACTCATGGATCAAACCTAGGCCTGCTTTATTGCAGGTGGATTCTTTACCATCTGAGCCACCAGGGAAGCCCTGACCACACAATACCTTGCTTAATGTGTTGATTCTTTCCATGGATCACAGTGGAAATGAAGAATGATTAAAGGATAACTTGATCTCTTCCCTAGCTTCCCCTTCACTAATTTGTGAACAAGATAGCATCTGAAGAAAGAGCATGAGAAGTCGACAAACCTGCACACAGTGGGGGACTTTGATGACTCTGACTTCCATGTCCCTGATCACCTGTAATTACGTCCTTTTTTCCCTTTAAAAACTTTCATGGTTGAGCAGACTCTTCAGAGGTAGTTTTTGGGAGACACTGAGTCCACCATCTCCCCATCTCCCAGTTGCTGGCATTTGGGTTAAAGGCAATTATTCTTCCTACTAATATTGATGAGTACTGATCTTGTAAGCAGTGAGCAGTGGGACCTGGTTTGATAACATCTGGATAGAAGATATTTCTGTAGGGTTGTTTGTTTGCTTAAATACCTTAAGTTACAGCACTCAACATGTGAAAAGTTACCTACAAAAACAAAATTTCTGAGATGACTGATGCACTTGCCTTTAAAGGCTTTGTATCTTCAACAACTCCTCTCTACTGTCCTGGTAAAGGTATTATTTTTACCGTATTATTACATATCTAAGTAATCACACCTGGCTTTATTCAAAACAAAACAAAAAAGTTGCAGTAAATATGTGTCCTTTGTGGTAATAGAATGCATAATTTAGCTCAACTATGCTATCTCTTTATGAGAGGTGCTTGTTTCTGTTATGAAATGTGTTCACAGTAAAGGGAATCCACCCCAGACACCTGGAAGGCAGAGGTAGAACCACTTGCCCAGCATGTCGCTGCTTCAGACCAACCTTGACATGACTGTGTAGCCACTTCTGCCCCAGGAGTTACTAATGTTAACTCAGCCTCCCAATCACAACCACCCCTTTCTCTCACAACCATGATCTTTACTGAAGGTAACAAGCACATTGCCAGGCTGAAGTCCACCCTTAGCCAGTGTGAAAAGGCCTTGAAAAACAGCACTTTATTATTCCCTGTGAGAGCTCTGACAGGACTGCTTTGTTACCTGAATTAAATCTTGAAATGTCAGGGGCAGTAAGTCATCCATACGCCCGATGTCTTTGCAGAAACGATTTAAAATTCTTCCTGAAAGAACAGGATATGAGAAATTACTCATTTCCCCAGTCACGTCCTTTAAGAGAAAGAATTCATGAACAAATCAAAACAATATTTTTAAAGTACATATATATATATATTTAATATATTACAGAGTCATATGAAATATGCCAATGTCTGTGGTAAAGAAAGAGAAAATAGGATGATACCTAGAGAAATAAAAATACCAAATGACTGTCGGTGGGGAATTGAAATTGAGGCATTATTTTTTAAAAGAATTGGTGGGGGGACTCTCGTGGCAGTATCAAGAAAGGTTGGTGGATTTGAGAAAGTTTCCTCCTTTATGTCCATCCACCTGAGATACCTACCAAGTGACAAACTGGTAAACAACTACAAAATACTTAAGTCAATCCCAATTGTTACACTAATTTTGCTGATACTTTTTAAATAAATATAGTTACAAACTCTCCAATATTTTTTTCCCTTAAAAAAGTTTATAGCACCTTATATTTTGAAAAATTATGGATTCCTGCCATTTCCAAGTTGTGAGCTTACTACAGGGGTAATAAATTGTTATTTTTAGAGGTACAGCAGGTGGGACAAACACAGACTCATGCTTAAGCATCCAAGAAGACCAGAAGGATATAGGCAGGAAAACAGAAAATTTTTTTTATTTTATTTTTTTAGGAAAACAAATATTTCTTAATGACTAAAAGATAACTTTTCATCAATGATTTTATTTCCCTTCTCAGAATCCATGAAAACAATATATCCTAAAGACTGCAGGTTTGGAAGATTGTCACTGAGCAGGATCTCTAATAAAAGCCACGGAGCATGTCCACTGGAAAATGCCCATATGCATTGTTTTATGATTTGGGGGGATTCTTAAACCATGAACCACAAGAACTGGGGTGGCCATGAGAGATGTGGACCAGGTGAGAAATGCTGATTCTGGGGGAACAGGACACCACGTGTCACTTGACTCCTCCTGTCACAGGAATGCACTCCTAAAAAGTACACACACTTTGTCTCCAAGAGGGGTATTTTTCCTGGCGCAGTGCACCTCGAATGCCCTTCAGGGCAAAATGCAGTCTGTAGCTCCTATCTTTGGGAGAATTATAACTGTGAAAATTTGAAACCTCTGTCATGCAGCAGATCTCTGAAACATTAGATGGTATATGGAAACTACTATCACAAAAATCCTCTGACGTTTTACAAACTATTTTTGGTTTTCTTTTACATTAAATATTTATAAGCGAGTTCTACAGGATGACAGAATCATTGCATTTCATAGCTTCAGGCCTTTCAGACATGATTGAGGCTGAATGCAAGACTCAGGATGAGTAGATGCTCCCTGCCTAACACACACAGCTACCTGACAGCCAGGTGTTCATTGAGTAAGTGCTGTCTTCACTCAGGTCTGTCTACCCAAAACTATGCATTTCTTCACCTTCCTCAATGCCATTATATATCCCAAATGGTAAGTTACGACATTTACATGGTTAGTTTACTAATGCTAATTGGGCAGTATTTATAGGAGAGTTGTATTTATTCTGTTGCATTTGTTATACCTTTAACAGCTTTAAAAATATAATCTATAGTTTATAAGAACTGACCAGGAATCTCATTTTTATTCCAGGTTGCTTTAACCATATTTTGCATAATAGGAAGTTTTGAAGTATCAGATTGTCCGAGTGTTAGAAATGCAGAAAGACTGCCTGGATTTAACCTGGCTGAACAAGCCACAGAATGTCTCTAAAAACATCCTGTAATAAAATTTGAAGCCTTGACAATCTAAAACTGCCTTAGGTCAACTTTAATTTTCACTTGTGACATTTTTCATTTTGCATACTTTTTGAAAAAGCCGAATACATAGGCATTCTACATTTTGACCTGTTATAACCTTTTTTTAAAAATATAGTAAGTTCCTGCTACTCTTAAAAAGTACATCCACTTCCCTGGAATAATTCCAATGTTCCTTTTAAATAGAACTTATAACTTTATAAAATTTCCAGCTGTCTACTACACAATAGGCCTGTAAGAAACTTTTGCCTTATCATTTCCAAGCAAAAAGTAAACCAGATGTTTGGTGCTTATATGCAAAATTAAGCTCTCCCTGTGAAACCAAATTAAAATGAACTCATGAGTGAAGCAAAGCCCTGATGAAAACAGAAACAAAGACAAAACAAGCAAACAAACATAAAACATACTGTGGCTTTTTTGTGGCTTATTGGTCTTAGCCATTTGTCCACTTTTCCTTGCATCTGGGAAATCACACACATCGTTTCCCATTCCCAATTGTTCTATAAAATTTATAATATTAATTTGGATTTTATAGAAGAAAAAGACTAAAAAATCCATAATGTTTCACCAGGTCACTTAATCAAAAAATCAGTTAATGCCAGGTATTTGCTATGCATTTCTTTAAATGCTTTACATGTATTAATTCTCCTCATTCTCACACACAAAAATGTTGAGAATATTATTGTACTATTATCTCTACTCTACAGAAAGAGTTGAGGTCAACAGAGGTTAAACTTGACAAAGGTCTGTCTCTTGGTGGCTGGGATGGGACTCACATTCAGAAGAGCTGACTCCAAAGTCTGTTTTCTTTACCAAGGGTCACATGGATCCCACATGACATAGTGGTTCAAAACCACTATTGAAAAATAAAGAAAAAACATTCAATTTAGTCTAGGTAAAGTCTAGAGTCATTTTTATTTGCTGCTTAATTTTCAAACTTTAAATTTCACAACTTTTTAATAGAATCTATTGATACGGATCTTATTCCAGTGTGACAGTCTAATTCAAAAGGAGCCTTTTTCTCTCACACACACACACCACTCTGAATCAGTGCTGCTTAAGATAACTGTGCTTCTGTCAAGAGGATCTTGACTGTGTCAGTGAAGTGACTGGCACAGCTATTACAAAGCTCTGTTCTAGCAGAACTGAGACATTGGAAAATCTCCGCCTTCATCCCAACTCCATGTCCATTAATAGATTTTAAATGTACACGGATGACAATCAACGTTTCGTCTCTTATCTGACATCAAATTTTTAAAAATGGACATAACAATTAAGAGAAGAGAAAACATGAGGTATATTTTCAAAAATACTCAATGTTTATCTAAAATCTGTAAGGTACTCATTTTAGTACCTAAGACTTCAAACCTTAATCTCATCTAGAAAGCAGTCCTTGGATACAGCAAGAATCAAGAGAAGACATACCTGAAAACCAGGCCAATTAAGCATGAAACTCCTACAGTTGCTTTGTGAAGGGAGATGGGAATGGTTAGAAAATTTGGCACCAAAAGGAATTAAACCGCCTTCAGTTTTAAGCATTTCCCATTGTAGGAGTGAAATCTACTCACTGGGTCTAAAACATTGGACAATTTGTTAATAGAACTAGCTGATCTTGTAAGATAAACCACTAATTGTCTAGGTTACACAGGTGCTGCCTTTTATACCTTTTGTTAATCTATTTGTCTCACAAGTATTTATTCAATCTTAAATCAAGGAAAAACAGTTCTCTAGTAATACTGATGACTCATCATTTTGAAATAGGAATTTATTTTCCTTCCATTCACAGGGCTATGTCAAGACTAACATTTGAAAATTGGCATTCCTCCCTTTTACCTCTTAAGGGCCTGTAGTTTATAAAGTAAAACAATTAGGTATCAAATATTTGACCCTCCTAAGGTTCATCTTCAATGCACATTAAATCCCAGGGAAATGTATTAGGTGTTGGCAATTTTGTCTCCTTTATTGACAGACAGCAGAATTTTGGCAATTTTATTTCTTTGACTGACAGAAAACAGAACTTGGAAGCTTGATTGACAGACAACAGAACTTTATGGTTCCATGAAACAGCTTCCAGTGAACTAATATATGTGGTTTTCTCTTCATGACATCACACACCAGAAACAAAGTCCACCCTAAATTATGTATTACAAATTATACTTTTGAAAATAAAAGATAGGAAAGAGTTCAATTTAATCTACCACTAAATGAGTAGGTAATTGATTGACCCCAAACCTTTTGGGCAAACTAGGCTTATCTTTGTGGTACTTATTTGGGCTTGAATTTTCTTGAAGGAATGAAGTCCTGCTAATAGATACAGGAGGGGGAAGCAAGATAAACATTAGTGTGCTGGCTGCTTTAAGAACAGTGAACTTGAAGATTTAAACTTGGTCCCAAATTCTTGAATAATAAATGAATTAAGTGTCTACAGCAAAAACCACTACAATATTGTAAAGTAATTAGCCTCTAACTAATAAAAATAAATGGAACAAAAAAAAAGAAGCCTATAAGTCTTGAACATGAAGAACCTGGCTAACTGTGGTCATGAGACCTCAGAAGCTGAGATAACAGAAATTCAGTTCCTTTTAATGCTCCCATCTGTACAAGTGTAGTTTTCACATTAACAGGCAAAGTGGAGCAACTTCACAGCCATAATAGCATGGGCTCCTCCAGTCACTTCCTTGTTCTAACTTCCTAATACGATGAGATCTGTGTGGGCCACTGCATCTTACCATCCTGTGCTCCTCACAGTGCCTGAACCAAAAACAACATGCACTGAATAAATCTACACAAGACGCTGCTCTCAACATTCTTACTTAATCCTCACAACACTCTTGTAAAACAGGAAGAGCAGCATCTCCATTTCACAGGAGAGGAATTCTCAGACACCATGTCACCATTGTCACTAAGGCTCATTAGGCACCGACCATGTGCTAAGCACTGTGAATGTATTAACTAACTTGGCACAGTGGTAAAGAATCTGACTGCCAATGCAGGAGATGCAAGAGATGCAGGTTTGATCCCTGGGTCAGGAAGACGCCCTGGAGTCAGAAATGGCAACCCATCCCAGTATTCTTGCCTAGAAAATTCCGTGGACAGAGGAGCCTGGTGGGCTATAGTTCATGGGGTCGCAAAGAGTTGCACATGACTAAGTGACTGAGCACAACAATGCCCACAACATTAAGATCAGTTAGGTGTGAAGAGACTCCTCATTTTACAGATAAGAAAACCAAGAAACAGAGAATTGAAGTTATAAACACATATGTATTAACATCACTATAAATAGTTATTACTATCAGCAACTAACACCAGTACTGAACCCAGGCATTTGGCTCCAGAGTCCACACTTTTTTTTTTTTCCCATTTATTTTCTTATTAGTTGGAGGCTAATTACTTTACAATATTGTAGTGGTTTTTGTCATACATTGACATGAATCAGCCATGGATTTAATGAGATGGATGAAACTGGAGCCCATTATACAGAGTGAAGTAAGCCAGAAAGATAAAGACCAATACAGTATACTAACACATATATATGGAATTTAGAAAGATGGTAACGATAACCCTATATGCAAAACAGAAAAAGAGACGCAGATGTACAGAGAGTCCACACTTTTAAACCAAGGCAGACAACATCCTGCCTTGAGATCTGCCTGCCCAATAGTGTCCACCTTTTTTGGCCTACAGTCCTGTGGCTAGCTGATGACTAGGCCAAGGCTACTTCTGTCCGACCTCCAGCCCAGCTCCCTTAACAGGCCCTGTCAATTATTACTTGCATAAACAAAGCCACCTGAGCCTCACAAAAAATCTAACCAACTAGATAAAGTGGGCATGTGCACTGATGAACTAACACTTCAAAGAAACCCAGTGTGGAGGCTACCTTCCAAAATAGGATAGGTGAAAAACAGTGGAGACATCAACCACCAGGAAAACTGCAGGGATACTCATATTGAGAAACTTACTACTGAGCATCCACCTGCTACGTACCACAAAACCTCTTCTTACATGTCACCAAAATCCACTGTAAAACTATAGGGTTAATTTCATTGACGAGGATATTTACATTTCATCAATCTTCTAATTAATTTATCATTGCCATTTTAGGTAAATCTCATAGTGTCAGCACATGCCAGAAGTGCTGTGATTCCAGAAATGGATGGGAAATGAAAGAAAGAAACACACAGCCTGTCTCATGGAGAGAGACTCCTTGTAAGAAGGTCCTTCCTAAAGAATAACTTAGCTTGTGGGCTGTGCTTAGTCGCTCAGTCGTGTCTGACTCTTTGCGACCCCATGGACTGCAGCCCACTGGGCTCCTCTGTCCATGGGGATTCTCCAGGCAAGAATACTGAAGTGTGTTGCCATGCCCTCCTCCAGGGGATCTTCCCAAATCAGGGTTCGAACCCAGGTCTCCCACATTGCAGGTGGATTCTTTATCATCTGAGCCACCAGGGACGCTTAACACCACGTAACACAGCCAACATTTTATTTTTTTAATTTATTTTTTAATTAGAGGAAAACTGTTCCACAAAGTTGTACTGGTTTCTGTCATACAACAATGTGAGTTAGCCATAATTATACATATATCTCCTTCCTCTGGAGCCTCCCTCCCCTCTCCCCATTCCAGCCCTCTAGGTTATCATAAAGTGCCAGGCTGGGCTCCTTGTGGTTTATATCAATTTCCCACCAGCTGTCTATTTTACACATGATAGTGTATCTGTGTCAGTGCTACTCTCCTTCCCCTGCTGTGTCCAGAAGTCCATTTTCTACATCTGAGTCTCCACTCCTTTCCTGCAAATAGGTTCACCAGTACCATTTTTCTAGATTCTATATATATGCATTAATATACAATATTTGTTTTTATCCTTCTTTCTTACTTCACTCTGTATTAACAGGCTATAGGTTCATCCACCTCACAACCACTAACTCAAGTAATCAACAACATTGAAACACATTTCCATCAAATGTATGGTGTTTTGTATGCCAGGCAACAAATGGGTTCCTAAATCGTCCTGCAAAGTGAACATTTATTTTTCACAAACACAAATTGGAATAAAAGCTTATATGCTTCTATATTCAGATTTTCTCTGGTAGGAGGAAAAATATCAGTTTTTTATAGAAAATGGATCAATACACACAGTGATTTTCTTCTAAGCATCTCCCCCATTTTCACACATAAGCTATAATAAGGCACCAAATGGGTTTGTTAACAACCATTTCTACTGAGAAAACGGTGTCTGACTTACCTATTGAGTTTCTATCGAAGAATAATACCAGAGATCTCAAAATGGACTCTACCATTTTGCTGTGCAAAGTTTGTGAAGAATTAACAAGGATGTGGAATAACAACAGAGATCTTGTGATGCCAAAAAGGATGGTAAATACATTTAAACCTGAAATAAAGAAACATCACTCAGCACAAGATCTGTTCTTTTTCTTCAATGATCCTAAAGCACAGCAAACACTTTATAAGTGTGTTATGTATTTTATTCTATAAATACAATTTATGTATAAATTCATATACAATATAGAGTAACTTTATACATATAATAGATTCTATAAGAGTTTAATACAATCACAAGATACATTTATAAAGAATTTAAAAATCACTATGTCCCTCATAGTTAAATAGAAACCACATGGGGAAAACATCCAGTGTAAGCTACAATTTCAGGCTTTCCTAATTCAATTACAAGTTCTAATAAAACTGAGAAGAAAGAAAATGATAAAATGCAGTCATCTTTCCTTCTCTGAATATCAAATCTTACTATTTACAACATGTCCCACAATTTAAAAGTGAGGTATGTCTTGGTACCAAACAAAAATTGACTTTAAGGCAATAAATAGTAGACTGAATAATGTACAAAATGAATATGTGATCTGAAAGGTAGATTACTGGAAATCACCCAATCAGAACAGCAGACAGAGAGACAAATGAAAAAATAAATAAATAAATAAATAAAGTGAGAGCATATAAGAGACCTATTTGATAATATAAAGCATGCTAATCTAGGCATAATAGAAATTCCTGAAGGAGAAGAAAGAGAAAAAAAAAAAAGGATTAAAATGTATTTGAAGAAACTATGGCAGAAAACGTTCCAAATCTAAAGAAGGAAACAGATATGCCGGTACAGAAGCAGAGGGTCCCAAACGAGATGAGCCTGAACAAACCTAAACCAAGATATATATATATAATTAAAATGGCAAAAATTAAAGAGAAGATTCAAAGGCAGCAAGAGAAAAACAAAGTTAATTACAAAAGAATCCCACCCCCACCCCGCCCCCGGTGGGGCCAAGGCTATTAGCTGTTATTTCTACAGAAAAGTTGCAGAGAAGGGAACGGTAAGATGTATTCAAGGTCCTGAAAGGGGAAAAAAAAAATCTGCAACCTAGCATGCTCTATCCAGCAAGATGAGCATTTAGAATAGAATGAGAGGTAAATGTTCTCAGACAAGCAAAAACCAAAAGAATATAGTAACACTAAACCTGTCCTGAAGGATACACTAAAAGTGACAGTGAAAGTTGCTCAGTCATGTCCAACTCTTTGTGATCCTGTGGACTATAGTCCACGGAATTCTCCAGGCCAGAATACTGGAGTGTGTAGCCTTTCCCTTCTCCAGGGGATCTTCCCAACCTAGGGATTGAACCCAGGTCTCCCACAATGCAGGTGGATTCTTTACCAGCTGTGTCACAAGGGAAGTCCAAGAATACTGGAGTGAGTAGCCTATCCCTTCTCCAGTGAATCTTCCAAACTCAGGAATTGAATCAGGGTCTCCTGCATTGCGGGCAGATTCTTTACCAACTGAGTTATCAGGGAAGCCTCCCACCATATACTAAAAGATCTTCTCTAAATAGAAAAGAAGCAAAAATCCATGGGGAAGAGAATATCACAGTTGGACAGTAAACCACTTACATAAGCCAACACACAGATTAAAAATTTTTTTCTGTGAAAGTGATGATAACCACAATGAACAGCAAAAAGATAAACATTAAGATGTATGAGGCACATCAAAATCATAAAATGGGACAGGAGAGTAAGAAAATGCAGATTTTTTTTCAGAATGTGTTTAAGCCTATATGTTGCTATTAAGTCATGTTGCTAAGTTATGTTCAACTCTTGTGACCCTATGGATTACAACCTACCAGGCTCCTCTATCCATGGACTTTCTAGGCAAGAATACTGGAGTAGGTTGTCATTTCCTTCTCCAGGGGATCTTCCCAGCCCAAGAACAGAAACCTTGTTTTTGCATTGGCAGATGGATTCTTTACCACTGAGCTACCAGAGAAGCCCTAAGCTTATATGACTACCAGTTTAAAGCAAGTAGATAAAGGAAAACATTAACGTAATTGAAAAAGAGGGTAACCATAAATTGAAAACATACAGTAGATTCACAAAAGTCAAGAAGAGAACAGAAAGCATAACACAAAAGAAAATCATCAAAACCAGAAGAGAAAAAAACAAAAGGAACAAAGAAGAAATAAAAATCAACAGGAAAACAAAGTTTAAGATGGTGATAAATATATACATATCAAAAATTACCTTAAATGTCAAAGAACTAAACACACAAAAGACACAACGTGGCATACTGAATAAAAATAATAAGAGCATACAATACACTGCTTATAAGAGACCTGCTTCAGGGCAAAGGACGCACATAGATTGAAAGTACGGGGATAGAAATAGATATTTCATGAAATAACAAGAAAGTGGAGGCAACAATACTCAGACAAAACAGACTTTAAAACAAAGATTATACAGAAAGATATAGAAGGACACTATAGGAAGATAGTACAGTTGTCAACATATATGCACCCAATATAGGAACATCCAAATACATAGAACAAATGCTGATAGACATAAAGGAGACAATAATAGTAGGGGTTTTAACACCTCACTCACATCTACTGACAAATCTTCTAGACAGAAAATCAAGCAACAGAGATCTTAAATGAACAATAGAAAAATCAGACTTACTAGGTATTTTCAGGACATCACATACAAATCACATCACAAAACCCCCCAGAATACTCCTCCTTATCAAGTGTAGATTGACCATTCTCTCGAATGGACTCATACTAAGGCACAAAACAGGTCTCAACAAATTTAAGAGGACAGAAATTATTTCAAGCATCCTTTCTGACCACGAATGCATTAAACTAGAAATCAACCACAGAAAAATAAGGAAAGAAAGATTACATGGTGAGAGAGTCAATTCCTAGGCAGATTGATAAGAAGTCCAGGGGTCCCCAAGGAGAGAGGGGTCTGAAATTCTCAAGGAGTAAGAAAGGACTAACTTTTTGTCCCTCTACATTCCTTAGGATTATATAACAATAGGAAAAGGAGTACGTCAAGGCTGTATATTGTCACCCTGCTTATTTAACTTATATGCAGAGTATATCATGAGAAATGCGGGGCTTGAAGAAGCACAAGCTGGAATCAAGATTGCTGGGAGAAATATCAGTAACCTCAGATATGCAGATGACACCACCCTTATGGCAGAGAGTGAAGAGGAACTAAAAAGCCTCTTGATGAAAGTGAAAGAGGAGTGGAAAAGTTGGCTTAAAGCTTAACATTCAGAAAACTAAGATCATGGCATCTGGTCCCATCACCTCATGGGAAATAGATGGGGAGACAGTGGAAACAGTGTCAGACTTTATTTGGGGGGGGCTCCAAAATCACTGCAGATGGTGACTGCAGCCATGAAATTAAAAGACGCTTACTCCTTGGAAGGAAAGTTATGATCAACCTAGACAGCATATTAAAAAGCAGAGACATTACTTTGCCAACAAAGGTCCGTCTGATCAAGGCTATGGTTTTTCCAGTGGTCATGTATGGATGTGAGAGTTGGACTGTGAAGAAAGCTGAGTGCCGAAAAATTGATGCTTTTGAACTGTGGTGTTGGAGAAGACTCTTGAAAGTCCCTTGGACTGCAAAGAGATCTAACCAGTCCATCCTAAAGGAGATCAGGACTGGGTTTTCATTTTACGGACTGATGCTGAAGCTGAAACTCCAGTACTTTGGCCACCTTATGCGAAGAGTTGACTCATTGGAAAAGACCCTGGTGCTGGGAGGGATTGGAGGCAGGAGGAGAAGGGGACAACAGAGGATGAGATGGCTGGATGGCATCACCGACTCAATGGGCATGAGTTTGAGTAAACTCTGGTAATTGGTGATGGACAGGGAGGCCTGGCGTGCTGCAATTCATGGGGTCGCAAAGAGTCGGACACGACTGAGTGACTGAACTGAACTGAATGTATCCTGCTTGAGGACAGTCTCTGGAAAAAACCTTCTGGCTAATCCTGTTATCTTAAAATGTAAATTATGGGAGTAGGTCTAGTGAGGTCTTTACAACCTCCAGACATTCTTTTGATTCACTGTAATAACTAATTAGAGAGTATATAACTCCATGGCTAACACTAGCAAGAGGGTACTCTTTCTGCCCTCTTCTGATGCTTATGTCAGAAGCTTTCTCTATCTCCTTTATACTTTAATAAAACTTTATTACACAAAGCTCTGAGCAATCCAGCCTTGTCTCTGGCCCCAGATTGAATTCTTCTCCTCTGGAGGCCAAGAATCCCAGCCTCTTTTCCATGGTTCAGCAACAACCTTTCAACAGAAACTAAACAACATGTGGGGTTTTCCAGGTGATGCAGTGATAAAGAATCCTCCTACTGATGCAAGAGATGTGGGTTCAATACTTGGGTCAGGAAAATTCCCTGGAGTAGGAAATGGCAACCCATTCCTTGTCTGGAAAATCCCATGGACCGAGTAACCTGGTAGGCTATAGTCCATGGGATCACAAAGAGTCAACACAGCTGAGCAACTGAGTGCACACAGACAAAAAACATGTTACTTAAAAAAAAAAAAAAAGAATTAACGATTAAATCAAGGAGAAAATTTAAAAATACAAATGACAACACAGCCATACAAAATCTATAGAGTGCAGCAAAAGCAGGTCTTAGAGGGAAGTTCATAGTAACATAGGTCTTCTTCAAGGAACAAGAAAAACCTCAAATAAACAACCTAACCTACCACCTAAATTAGAAAAAGAAGAACAAAACCTAAAATCAGCAGAAGGATGGACATAATAAATATCAGAGAGGAAATAAATACGTAAAAAATAGAAAAAAAAAATCAATAAAACCAAGAGCTGGTTCTCTGAAAGGGTAAACAAAATTGGCAAGCCTCTGGTTAGACTTACCAAGAATAGAAGTAGAGAACCCAAATAAACAAAATATAAATCAAAGAGGATAAGTAACAACTGATTCTACAGATACACAAATAAACCATGAACTGTATTTACTAACAAACTGGACAACCTATGAGAAATGGACACGTTTCTAGACACATACAGCACATCAAAACTGAACCAAGAAGATACAGAAAAGTAGA